TTTAAATGGGATTTTCATATTGATTATTAACATTGCTTTCCACACTTTTTTTTATCACGAAAGTTATACTACTCTTCTTGAGCAAGACTCAGCTCTAGGGTTTTCTAATCTTAATGGCTCGTCAAATAGTATTGTTTTTATATTTTTTTGCCTATTAATAATACATCAAGAATCTTTTTTTTTGAATTATATCACAGATTATTCATAAGCCAAACCAATTATGAATTCATCTGATTTTAACGAGTAAAAAGTGAAAGCCGTCACGATAGAGAAGATACCAACTACGAAAAAGTTATTACGAGAGATCCACAAATGTAGAAATAAAAGGTTTAAGTGGGAACATGAGCACAGACATGAAAAAAATGAATCTTCCCATGTACATATACCAAAAGAAGAGATACCACCAGTTACCAATCTTTCTACTGAACTTAATATTACTTTTGATCTGTCAAGGGTATATTTATTTTTATGAATCTTTGAATTCAAGTGTTAGATTTTTGTTAATATAGCACCTTATCTAGTATAGCAAAATATCTTTTCTTACTTGATTATTATTGTTTTGTGCTGATAGGAAAATTATCTGAATTATTTGTCGCAAGTTTGTCCAGCAAGTTATGGAGTGTAACAGATACATAATCACCATTACTCCATGGGAGTTGGTGGCTCAGTGCTTTGGTAAGGGTAATTATTCCACTCCACAAAAAAATACAACTTTGTTAAATTAAAGAATAGCTTTTTAAAACATATAAAAACTGACAAGACTAACTTATTCTTATTTTTTAAGCATCGAACACAATTTGTAACCCAGGGGTTATGCACTTTTGATAAAATATATTATATTAAAAACAAGTGGTTGAGTACCTCAGATCAAATATCATCTAAAAAAGCTAAGATTGAATATGACATAACTACACGAGACTTGTTAATAGAAATTCTAATTCAGAAATCAAAACAGAATAACTCGAGTAGTTTAGAAATTTCTCCAGATTTTTTGATACTAATTGATATTGATATTTTTTGTAAAGTTAATCAAGCATCTATATCTGATAAGAAAAAATGCTTGTGGGTTACTTTCAGTCAGTAATTGGGAATGGAGAAATTAATCAAAAGAAGAGATGTACATGAGCATTTCAGATTGAAGTGAAAAAAGCTTGAACATGTTATGAATACTTGGAGCAATATCGAATCTCAAGATTTTCAAAACACAATAAGTGTGCATATTACACGAAATGAGAAGGTCAAATTAATATTATCAGTGCATAAGAATTTTCACTCATTAAATGAGTTAGTGGAATTTCGTCATATAATTGAATCTGAGTATATTGTAGATCAAAATAATCAGACCTTAATTCATCTTGAGCAACTTGATAACTATGATGCCATTACACAAGCAATGAGTGCTGTGAATTATTATTATTTCCATACTCTAAAAAATCTATCATATTGAAGCAATGAGTTCTGAAAGAATTTCATCGAACATTTTGGTGCATATATATTATATAACCCTCTCCTCTATACGAGTTCTAACACAATCAGTATTCATAATGCCAATTATCAAAAATGTGTAGATAGTTTGCTTCGTGAGCTAGTACCATTATCTGATTGCATTAATCACTTTTTTGAGGGTTATTATAAGAGTTTGTATGAGAAGCTTAGCAAATTAGAGTGGGGATCATTTGCATCAAAAAGTTTTGGAGTCTTCTCTATGATTACAATCAATTTTAATATGATTAGCAACTATTACTGGAATGAGCATGATGAGCTGAATTCTCTTTGCTGTTTAGTTATATTGGATGATTTTGAGGGAGGAGAATTATGCTTTCTTTAACTTCAAATTATTGTATCACTTCATCCAGAACAGATTGTGATATTCTTCTCACGTTTCTTATTACATGGTAACCTTCCCATTATGAGAGAAATTCGTCATAGTGTCATGTATTTCGTACATGCTTCATTTTTTCATAATTTACAGGAGTTTTCACAGATTTATACTGATCTTGAGGATGGGATCAAGAGAGATGCTTATGGATTAGTTGTTCTTACAATTCTCTAGCAAGATCTCAATAATTTATGAGATCTGAATAGCTAGATCAAACTCAACAAGCTGAAAGCAAATCAGATAAGAGTTCTATCTGCATTAACTGATTGTAGAAGAGGATATATCAGTAAGTAATTACATTATATGGTGTTGATATATAAGCTAAAAAATGGATATTAACATATAATTGAATATTATATTTAGATTTGAGACGTGCATGATGTGATTTAAAGACTGAGGATCCACTTCTTGATGAGTTATAGATAATAAAAATAATTAGATAGCTCCTTAATTTCTTCATGCATTTTAGGATATTCAAAAAAACTAAAATACTGAAAATGCAAAATATTCAGTTTTCTCCCCAATTGAATAAACTCGTCAGTTTTGTTGATAAATCAGATAAAGTCGCAAAGTTCTTTAGCAGTTGGTCTGTTTTCTGGATAGAACCCCAACATTTTTCAATAATAAATTTGTATCATCCAGTAATATTATTTGGTTGGTATCATAGGTCATACTTCATTAAAGATGTTACATACAAGATGTGTATAATTATCTCATATGTAATCATCTCCAAACTAAATATTCACAGATTTAGTGTATAGTTTCCATTTAATGTCTCAGACTCAGTACTCTGTAAATTTCTTGGTTTGATTTTTTTATATCTGCTGAGTAGGTAAGTTCAAAAAGCATCAATATGCAATAATATATTTGCAGAATGAATATTATGCATAAGTTTCTTTTTGTGAATTTTTCATTTGATCCCAAATCAATTATTCATAGTTGAATTAATATATTTTGTGTTTTTCATTACTATCGAGTATTCATTCATAGCTGGATTTTTAGTAATTCCATAATAATTTATTTCAAAGTAAGCATCACTGAACTTTAGAGCAGTCTGAATCTATTTTTGAAAACTAGAAGTTTTTTAGAAAATAAAAAAGTGACTTATTTATATTTATACTTAGAAATTACTCATTTTTATCTTATTTATAATTCTCTGTGAATTACAGAATAATTTTAACACAACAACTTGGTACATATTTATCATCTTTTTAAATTCATTAAATTTGTAATTCCACGTGTAATAATGCAATGATGCTTTATAAATTTTTCTGAGATATTCAATATTGGAAGATTTTTTAAAAGGGATCCATTTTGAAATATCATCTGATTTTTATGCATTCTTTTATTAGACAGTCAATATCCTGACTTTTGATAAACCATTTAGTTTCATAAAGTTGATAGTGAAAATCAAAACATTCATTGAAGTGATCATTTTTTTGACAATGAGTACATTTACTGCAATCATGAATTGATATATCTTCATTTTTATTATTATTAATTTTATTTAAATACATTTTGAACTATCAAAGAAAAATAGGAATGAATTTATCTTTATTTGCTTTAACATCGATATCTATATCTAGCAGTAATTATAGTGATCAATAGTGATAGTGTGCAAATAACATCAATATACATATATACATATTGATTGTTGATATCGATATGTACAGTACCTTCAAAAAGTATTGTCCAATTTTTATAAAAAATGAAATTTTCGATTTATTTCATTCTGCTTTATATACATAAAAATTTTTTGTTATCATTAACTAATACATTATCCACCTTCTATATGGCTTCAATACCATCTCGATTCCTTATGGCATCGAGCTCACATCCTATCCCGAACTAACACATTACATTTTGATTACATTTTTTTCAGAACATGTTTACAATTTTTTACACTTTAGAATATTGTTTTATAATAGTTTCTAGATGTTTTCTATGAAGTCAAATCTGGGAGAATACGTTAATTGATTCATAATCATTAATATTCCTATTTCGTAATCTTTTTAGAATTATGATTAGAGTTAGAATTAGAGTTAGAGTTAAGCTAAAACATCATATTTTTTCAAATTAATAAGCATAAAATATTATAAAAAAAGATGAAATTACCTTAAAGAATCTTTGGGTAAATTTTTACAAAGATTTTTTGTTGACAATATCATGAAATGGCTCAGGTTCTTTTTCTTGCTTGTTAAGAGCTTATGACCTTCCAGATCCTGATAAATTTTCTTTTTTCCTATTTCTCTTGTATTCAGCAAGAGATCATTATCCCATCATTAAGTCACAGATCATTTTTCTTGCAACTTGTATGACACTCAAAATTCCAATCCAAGTTATCCATTTTACCCTTGTCAAAGTCAGTCAACTGAAGATAATGTGTGTTATATTTACAATCAACAAATTTTGTTCAGTATATATTCAAAAGTTGAAGAAAGAAATGAAAAAAATTTGCAGTCAACAATAACAAAAAGAGTGAAAATCACCACATTTAAATTTATGTTGATGTTGCATATCCAAATCAGGCGTTATTTTCTATGGTGACTGTACGTATTTAATAATTGCCATTATCATTATCGCATACATCACAAAAAAAATTAGTAAAAAAATTACTTTTTTGATTAAATGATTGGTTCATTTTTAATTATACGTATGCATATGTATATATAGTATAATCAGATAATATAATCAATTGGATATTATTAATTATATTAATTTTAGTTTATATTTTTCTTTCTATACTTTATATCCACCAGAATTTCAAACACATACATGCATGAATTGTATCTGTTTTAAGACTACATCTTTTATCTGCTATCAGATTGGTATCACCAGAAAAAATTCATTCTACTGGAACATTTGTTGTTATATAAAAATTAATTTGTTAACTATTATTTAATAATCTTATCATTATAAAATTGCAAACTTTTTTATCTGTAATTGCAAGATAATCTCTTGTCATTGTTGCTAGATGTGGAAATTCTATTTCATGAAGCTATATATATAAATTAAATTAATAAAATTAAATATATATCTTCTATCAAAGAAGAACATTCTAATCTCGTACTACTCGAAGAGCTTTTAAATATAACTTCACTTCATTATTTTGAACTTTTTTCTATTTACCAAAAATATGATCTAAAAATTCATCATCATTCTTATCTTTACTATCATCAACTTCTATATTGATAATATTAAATATATAATTAATATTATAAATATTATAAACAGTTTCTCTAGCATGATAAATAAAACTTTGTTTCCAATTATTATCAATATAATAATCTAGCTTTAACCGTGAATCAAGTACTATATAATTTAATTAATATTATAAGTTTATAATTCAGTTTCTTTAAAAAATAACTAATTATTTTGGTTTAACTTACTAGTAGCAATTGTATATATAATTGTATCATCTGTTTTTGTATAATATATTTCTAGCTTTTTTAAGCTCGCTTTAATAGTAATTACTATATCACTAGAATCATCAAACTTATCGCAATATGTTTCAAGTCCATCTATTAAATGGTTATATATTGGTATAACAGAGATGAGCATAGGATATGTTGCAGATGAAAGTGTTTGGTAGTTCATACAAATATCTATATAATAAATATAAAACTTATAAAATTAATTATATATTAATTTACTTACTTTTAAAACAGATATAATATCATTAATCCTATCCCATTCATCATTAATAAGTTTAAAATTTTGAAGTTCTTTATTTAAACTTGTAGTTACATCTATTATCTATAATATAATATTAAAAAACAAATAAAAAATAATTATATTCTAACTTTACGCATTTCAAATACTTTGTTAAGCATATTATAAGTTGAGTTCCATCTTGTTTTTATATTCAGAATAAGATTAAGATTTTTAAAATTAGCTATTTTAGCATAACGTGCAAATTGTTCTCGACTTTGTGGTGATGATCGTATTTTAACTATAAGTTTACAAAGCTATATAATTAAATATAATAATTAATATATTAATAATTAAAAATTTAAATAATAAATTAAAAAACAAGTTTACCTTCAGAATTACCTCTCCATTAGTTATAGTTATATCTATATTATCTAATATATTATCTTCAGTTTGTGCTTCACCAGCTTTAATTGCTTTAAAATATCTTGTATGACTAAATTTATAATATGAGCAATACAGCGACAATGAGAATTGATAGCATCAAAAGAAATATTTTCTTCTTGCAAATAATTTCTAGATATCTCATAAAGATATCATTATTTGATGCATTATCACTTGTAATTATAAAAATCTGTTAAATTAATAAATAGTTTTATTAATATATATTTTAAAATTTAAATAAATAAATATATATATAAATAATTTATTTACCTTTGCTAAAGTTTCAAATTCATGACAACTTTTTACAAAAGCATTACAGAGATTTTCATCAGAATGAGGATCAGAAAGATTTATAAAATCTAATAATTTATCTTGAAGCTTCCAATCTTTTGTAATCCAATATGTTGTAATAGCTAAAAAGGTATAACCATTTGAGAATGTCTATGTATCTAAAGCAAATGAAATTTTTCCTGGTATATTTTATTAAAATTAATATAATATAATATAAATATTATATTTTTAAAAGAATTATTTGTATATATATTTAAATAATCTGAAATAATTTTTTCATATTTTTTTGCTCCTCTTCAAAGCTTTTTATTATATCACATTTTACTGTATCTGCTGAAAAAACTAGTGCATCTGAATTTAACACTCTTATTATTTGACAAAAATTTTATTTTCAAGCATTGTAAATGGTTAATCATCAGCAACTATCCATTTAATAGTATATTTCCAAAAATCTGCTTGTGTAAACTTAAAAAATACATAATATAAATATAATAATAATAATAATAATAATTCATTATGAAGTTTGATTTTTTTATATAAAATTCATACTTTAGATGAAGATTCTGTATAACCAGTAAAATTATCTAGTATACTTTGATCTGAATTTTTGCTTTTTTTTGGATTTATATTTGAATGATAATGCTCTAAATGATGCCAAAGATTTGTTGTATTGAAATCACCAATTTTGCGAAGTCATGTTTTATTACTTTTAAAATTTTAAAGAATATTATTAATTAATGTGATGGCTGAAGCTAAAATTGGATAAAGCTGAAACTCATGTGATTATAAATCACATGATCTTTAATGCATATTACATTTTATTTATCACATAATTAATCTTATTTAACATATTTTTTGATAAATATATATGTTGTGTCTCAGATGTCGATTTGCGTCAGGTGTCAATCAAACTAAATTAAGATAGGAGTGTTAGGATTAGGATTAGTGCCAGTAAATAGGTTAATGTTGGCTGAATAAAATCATGTGAAGTGACATCTGATGCAAATCGACATCTGAGGCACAACATATATATTAATTATAATACAAAGAAAAAAATAATACAAAATATATATATTAATTATAATGTAAAGGAAAAAAATATATACATATATGGAAATTTAGAAAAAAAATCAATCAGTATTCAAATATACATAAATTCTAATAATTACATATAGAAACACTTACATTTATCAAGTAAAAATAATCCTAATTTCATATTTAAGTTGTAATAATAATAGTAAACGTAAATTTATCACTTTAATAACTTAACTAAAGTGGTATATGATAGTTTAAATATATTTATCATCTGTTTATGTAAATGCGATGCTGTGACAGTCATTGTTTTGACAAAAAGCCAAAAATGGATTTGTTGTGTGTTCGTTCTGGAAAGATAAATTGTGTAATGACCAATCGAAAAATATGGTAACAATTTCAGATTCTCTCACTTCATTTTAGTGAACACGGTCATTAAGCTTAATTCTAAATTCTAATGGAACAAGTTCTTTTTTGCAACACTGAAGTTGATCATTAATTTCTTCCAGCTTTCTGACTTCTTTGTGGTAACTTTTCCTATTACCATTGTTATTGTGAATTATTCGTATTCAATCTTGAGTTTTGTTGGTGGTCTGTTGAATTCTTTTATTATTATAGGTGAGTGTTTTGGTGTTTTATTTTGTTTTGGTGTTTTATTTTGTTTTGCTTTCTAGTTGATTTGTTGGTTTTTGATGGTAAAACCATTCCGTGAATATTTCATTAGGTTGATCATTGCTTTTTATTATGGAAATTTTTGGTGAATACTTCATTTAGTTAGTCATTGCTTTTTTTTGATGGAAATTTGAATTCGAGAATTTGGCGAATACTTGTTTGTGAATTACGCATTATTATGCTCTACTGCTACATCATTATTATCAATACGCATCACTATTATCAAACCATCACTATGCTTCTTTGCTTCTTTATCACTATTATTTATATCCATTATTATTAGTATCGATTATAGTTTCTAATACATTATACGATAATAAAAACAAATCAATTTACATATACAAATAATATTATCATTGTTTATAACTGCATTCAGGTTCAAGTTCAGATTCAATAGATGCAATATTATCATTATTTCGTAGAACCTTGACTCATTTTATAGGAATTGAAGTATCTTTGCCATTCACTTTGATAATTGCTATATGATTATTGCTTGTTAATTTTTTGAACACACCCTGTTGAGAAAATGTCAGTTGCAGCTTTTGTTTGTGAGTCTGTGGATTCATGTCATGATCTGGTGCAATAATGACCATGGTTCCAGCTTTGATTGTATTATTTGCCATTTTTTTCTGATGAATGCTGCCTTTCAAACATTTTTTCGAACAGTATTCCTCGAGAGAATTGTTTATGGATTGCTGGATTTGGAGTATTTGCGACATGTATTTATCAATGATAACGTTGGTAATGTCATCTAGCACAGGTACAGATATCTGATTATTGACTTTGACTTCTGTGATATCAGGTGTGTTGTAAACACAATGCATCTTTCAACCAATCATGATCTCATGCAGTGTGCGGCTAAGGTTGCTTGCCGAAATCCCTTAGTGACTGTCTAAATTCTGTCAAAATTATAATAAACTATTAGTAAATAACCCGTCGAAATTCTGATGAATTTTGAAACCTGTCGTAACCGAAATTATATCGAAATTCTAATTAACAATTAGTGTGTAATCCATTGAAATTATGACGATATTTTTCTGAAAGGATTTAGGCAAGCATCCTTATGTACGGCCATGTGTCTTGTGCATAGTGGAATTATATATTATAACAAAGGCATCAATAATGTTAATCCAATCCTTTCGTTGCAATTGATTGTCATTATCCCAAAGTAACTTAGTGAATCCGCGATCAATGGTTTGATTGAGTCTTTCAATCTGGTCTTGTGCTTGTGGATGACGGGGATGTCCGTGCTTGATCTTGATATTAAGGATCTTGCAAATTTGTGTGATAATTTGCGCCACAAATTCTTTACCATTGTCACTTTGGAGAATGACTGGTGGACCGAGGATCTTGAAGACGTCTTTAATAAGGTGTGTTGCGACAGTGAGAGCTTCTTTGTTCTTCATAGAAATTGCAATAAGAAATTTAGAAAATATACAAACGCATATTAACAGCCACACAAAATCATCATTTACGTCAGCGAAGTCATGAAAGTCAATGAGATCGATTTGAATGTGTTGCCAAGGTGCTGTTAATATAACCGGTATCATATCTGTTTTCTTCTTGATGGATGTATTAATGACGCAAGCACAACATTTATTGATATATGTTTTTATTTCTTCTTGCGTGACACCAATATGCTTTTCCGAAATTGCAAAAAATGTCTTATGATAACTGCGATGATTGACCTGGTCATAAAAATGAATTAACATCATTTCACGTAATTCTTTATCATACTTAGGAATCACGCGATGCCTTTCAGATTTAACTGTATTATCCTTAATGACCGCAGGAATATACAGGATCCCATTCTCATCCACTTCAAATCTTTTACAACGACAAATAAAATTGGACTTTTCTACATGACTTTTTTGGATGTTAGAAGATGTCGTATTTAATTGAAGATAAGTGACAATCAATTGGTATGCTTCGGCTGTTTTAGGAATTTTTATAGTTGCTGGCATGTTGGACTTGACGCGTAGTTACATTAAATCATATCAAGTAATGCACTGTATGTACTTATTATACTAACGTATGTGGATTTTTACTGTATTGAACCATTTTTAAGGTAGGGGTTTTTTGTATTATAATCGCTTAGAGTTTTTTTTATTATTCTTATCACTTAGTTTTTTTTGAATCATTATTATTCGCTTAGGAAATTACATATTTTTTAGTTTTTTCATATTCGCATAGAATTAATAGAAAGTACTGTCACAAAGCTTTTTATATATTATAGATCATCGATTATTGCAATAACTTGTTCTGTATAACACTTTCACAATCAGAAAAGAAACTAAATCTTACAACTGGCAAATTTGGTTAAACTCTCTGTACTTGATTCCGAATAGGCAACAGAAAGTAATCATAAATAATGGTCAATTGAACGAAGTATTTGCCAAATTGTAATAATTCTCAACACAAATTCCCATCAAAAAAAGCAATGACCAACCGAACGAAGTATTCACCAAATTGTAATAATTCTCAAATCCAAATTCCCATCAAAAAAAGCAATGACAACCGAACAAAGTATTCGCCAAATTGTAATAATTCTCAACCCAAATTCTCATCAAAAAAAGCAATGATCAACCAAACAAGTATTCGCCAAATTGTAATAATTTTCAATCCAAATTATCACTAACATCATTACTTTACTGCCACTATCGTAATGCTCATTATGTACACCTCAACTCGTGTAAACTCGAATTACGTGTTAAATCTCATGTGATTAGTAAGTCAATCCGGATCCAAGTTTTATTCTGATCCTGATTATACGATCCGATTTTAAAATTTGATCTGGAACTAACAGATACAGATTGGATTTATAATCATGAGTTTCAGCTTCAGCCGTCACATTTATTAACTAATTATTCATGTTATAATTAAAATTAGCTATTTTAATATAACAAATATTTAGTTTAACTATTTATATTTATATAATTTTACTTTTAAAATCTTTTTTATAATAATATTTTTGTGCTATATTTTCTATTTCTTTAAATATTTTCAAGTTATAATAAATTGTTAAAAAATTAATATTAGTATAATACTAAATTTTTTTTGTAGATTATATTCTTTCAAATTACAAATATAAATTATTTGTTTATTAAAATATTTTATACGTATATTTAAAAAGATTATTATTATTAATTTGTTTATATATTGCTTTTTTGATTATTTTGTATTTTTACTATAAAAATAATTTTATAGAATTATCTTAAATAATTCTTGTATAAAATTCAATTTTATATTTTATCATATAATATATTACTATATATTTTGCGATACATTTTTATTATATAAATGATTTTATAGGATTATTTTGTATAAAATTCAATTCTATATTTTATTATATGACTTAAAAAATTATAAAACTGAAAATTTTTAAAATAAAATTTAATATTTCTAGTTTTATTAAGAAAAACGTTGCAACAAATATTTAATAATATATGCATGTATGTGTGTGTTTATTGAAAAATTTCATAAAGAAAATATATTTTAAATTGAAATAATCTAATTATAACAATTATTTCAATATTAACCAATTACATATCCAGAATCTTAACTCAGGTCCTAATTAGCCAATTAAAATGTGATTGTTACAAATACATTTATTCTTTTAAATTAAAGAAAAATATTTCAAATATATTTATTATGTAAATAAATTTCGAGTATATGTCAATCACGTGATCGATTAAAAAGATTCATCAATATGTTTCAACACGTATCCCTCTCCTTGATTTTTTGCGAAATAAATTACTTCAAAGACTATCTATGGATGTCTCTATATTATCTATTTAGGTGCACTTGCACCAGCAGCAGCTGATCCCAGGGAAATTTTCATTTGCATCACATCAAGAGTAGCTAATGAAAAATAGTAAATTAATATTAGAACATCTCTATCATCTTCGTACTCTATTCCACAAAAAAATAAACAAAAACCTCGTAAATTGTTTTGTTTTGTAGTGATGGTTTGTTGCAGTGACTCCAAATTCTTTTTTACATATTCTACTTTATCTGTAAAGAATTTGATTGCGTCATCGGTAGACTGTATAAATTATATAGAATCAATCAGACGATTAATTGATAATAATAATCATTGCTCGACACCAAATCCAAAAAACCGCATATGTGAATTAGGTAGACAAACCTTTTCTACATAATATCCGGTACCAACATCAACAATCACTTTTTCGGCATCTGTTAGCTCGCCAGGGACATAAAGGTGTTGATTGACAAAAAAAGATTTTGTTAAGAATTCATACTCATATATATATATTTAATTATTAAAAAAAAGAGAATAGGAAAGGATATTGATTCCGTTAATGGTAACAGAATTTCTTTTCCTGTATTTTTATAAAGTGAATATGTTAAAACCGTATTGATAGAGTTAACTAGAATTAAATATTAACGATCGTAATCACCCGCATTCCCAGATTTCACCGCATCTACACTAACAATACAAGCCTGAAACTTGTTCTGCGCTTGTTTCAATTGTGCAAAAGAATTCGTCAAATGTGATAATTCCTTGATTGTATTAAATTTGATTTATTGGTTTATTATTAAAATTTATGATTGATTTAATTGAACAGAAAAAATACAAAAAGATCTAAATTCTATTAAAAAAAAAACTAATTTCTACAATTATAAAGTTCAACCAATTCGCTAACAAACAACTCTTACTTCCTCCAGCTGTTTCTTAATTTCTGCCAACTGCTGCAGATCTAAATCTGTCAACTCTACGGTAGGCTGCGAAGAAGCTGTTTTTGTAGTAGTTGACATTATCATTAATTGTGAATCTTTTATTGTTTGCTCGTTATACTTGTGTGTGTGTCATCCAATTGGTAAAGTATATCGTCGATCAACCGTGATATATTTACTTTTTCACAATCACACGCTCTTCTTGATAAAAATGAGAATCGAGAAATTAAAGGTAAAACCTCGAAAAATAGCCGATGTCGGTGTATGCACCGCCGAACTAGCTTCCCTCTTAACGTGTTGGACAACGAACACAATCGAAGATGCAAAATGCTGGACAGCGGTTAAAGCTCTTGAAGAATGTATGCGTACTGTGGTGACGTGTCTTTTTCAATATCTTTGTTACATTTTTGTGACTCGTGACGTTTATTATATCTTATGTATTTAAAATTATTATATAGAATCACAAATCCAAAAGTGCAAATACTATAAATTATCATCTTGGCAGATTGGGAAAATTTCTTTGAGAACAAAAATATATCTTTTTTTGTCCATGATTATTTTCTACGCACAATCAATCAAATCAATTCATATATTGTAAGCGAAATAGAATATATAATTTGAGCTAAATCAAAATACGCGAAAATCAAAAAATATATTTTTAAGTTATAAATCGGGATTGTGTAGCGATCTAGTTGAGGATATTGCGAAATACTGTGCCAATCTTATATGCATTTTTCATCCATTAACGCTAATTACTATATGCCAAGACACCATTGATTCTTAGTGGTGGAAAAGGAGTCAGAATATTAAATTTTTGAGTTTACAGCTGTATTAGTTGGTTTTATTAGAAATTTTCTTATCGTTTACATGTAACATTATGAGTAATATTATCCGAAATTAATTGCGACCTTTAGGCTTTTATAATGTTTCGTTATTTATTAGAAAAGTGATATCTTTATTGCGCGCATAATTTTAATTTGACGATTAACATGTCGATATGCAAAAATTATATAAAATTTGTGTGAGTCATGAGAAAATGATAAACCAAAAAACACGTCAATAATGACAGAAATGTTGTGTAGCAATCAAGCAAGAAAAAGCTGTGTGCTATTAACAGGGCCCCTGCACAAAAGAAATTTATTTCTAAATCAAGTCAAAGTTTCATATATATATATATATATATCTCCATTGTATGTAAAATAGAAGAAAAAGATATTCGCCAAACATCTATTTATTCTTATTATTGGTGTACAGGACAACGACGTGTTTGAGTTCCATTTTTATCACCATCATCGTCACCCGGTTCAATTATCTTTTTTCTATTAATACTACACCTTTGCACAATACAACCACAACCACCGTTATTTCCTCCTTTGACTTTAAACCCGGGTCTCAATTTCAAAAATGAAGAATAAGGTAGAACTAGAAAAAACTTATTGCGTTTATATTTTGCGAAATATGAATAAGAGTAACGGGTCTTGTATTGGATATACTAAGGACCTCAAGGTAATATATATGTGTGTGTATGTGATATACGAAATGGACTTTTTTGGTGAATTGTGAAATGGGAATCCCGGGATTGCTATGGGTTTGAGATATTTATGCGTTATAAGGGATACCCCTTTTTATGAATTAAGATGGTTTAAATAATTTTAGGTTATGTTTTCTTGTGAAATAGTATATAATTCATACATTTTGACTTTTGAGTATATATATATGTATATGTATATATATAGTCAGAGAGAGAGATATATATATATATATAATCATATATGTATAGTTATATATATACACTAAAATACATATACTAATTAATACAAAAAACACACCTAATAATTCAAGAGTCGAATACGTCAATACAATGGACAACTCGATAACGGAGTAAGAACGGCACGGGGCAGTAGATGGGTACCCGTACTAGCAATAACAGGATTCGCGAGTAAAAAAGATGCAACACAATTTGAATCAAGTGCCAAAGAACTAGCCAAGAAACGAGAATTTAACGAATACGCGACACTCTATCAGGGCAAGTGTCCCGCCACCGTGGTAAAACGTATTCTTGCGGCTCGTTGTCTGTTGTGCGAACAGGATCGATGGTGGTCCGGATCAAAGAATAAACGACATTACTTGATTCATTGGGGAAAGGCCATTCGTGATCCGGTCCAAGCGCAGAGGTTAAAGAATAATTGGGGAAGAATTGGAAGATTGGTTACGCATATCGAGATGGATTTGGATGCTTTGGTGGATGATAACAAAAAGAAAAAGAATAATAATCCTCATCACAATCACAATAAGAAAAAACAAAATGTTGAAGTTATCGTCATTTCTTCGGACAGTGATGATGACGAAGACGAGGATGATGACACTAATAATAATAATAATAATAATAATAATAATAATAATAATAATAATAATAATAATAATAATAATAATAATAATAATACTACTACTACTACTAATAATAATAGTAATAGGAATAGTAATGGAAATAATAATTACGAAGAGGGAGAATGCGTGAATTATGAAATGAAAGAACACGGAGGAATAAAAACTAGCGAATCATCTTTATCACCTTCGTCAACATCATCATTGCCCTTTTCATCGTCACCTTCTTCCTCGAAAGGAAGCATTTATCAACCGAGTAGTAGCGGTGATTATGCTGAGGATGACGATGAGGAAATTGATATTGAATCTTGTTCGGTAAAGTCTGACGTGACAATGATGGATTCTGAATGATCAATTAATTAATTAATTAGAAAGAAAATACGCGAACACTATTGGAATTATTTCTTCTGCAATATTTTTTTTTCTTTTTTTGCTTTCTTTTTCTCCTCCTTAATAGTAATAGTAATAGTAGTAATATAGTATTAATAATAATATGGAATTTAATCAATTTGTTTTCTTCTCATATCGATATATATTTCGCAACTTACAAATTTCTTTTTGAGCCCAATTTAGCTGCATGAATAAAATTCCCACTAGTCTAAAAATAGTTTAACTCCAAAACTTAGAAAACACAAATGCAATAAAAATCAAAGAATAGAATAACTTTTTTTTCTGGGCAACTTTCTAACTGGTTTCGCGTACATTTGTTTATTGAACGTCCACTTTTGAATATACTATATGCGCGCATCTCGTGCGAACTGTTCTGCAATGTAACGTAATGTAAACGCACACCTATGTAGATTTCTGGTGATCATAGAGTTTATAGTGGGGTAATCTTTTGTTTACAAAAATTCATTACCAGAAAAAGCAATACAACAGTCATTTCGCAAAGTTAGCAAATATTCATACCGATATACGAACATAGCCAATCATTCGATAAGCCAAAAAATGAGAATCTATATATTATTTTTTAATCCAATAAATAAATTAATGTGTGATTTAGTATTTCAGAACATTTTCCGTACAAACGATAACGATAATTGATTTTCGCTAATCATTGCGCTACGGTTTCTTATTTACTATATTAAAGCAAAAATGCCATTTCTATCATTCTCTCGCATCACGAAGAAATTCGACAAATTCGCGGCGAAAATCACAAACTCAAACTTGTCATTAACGTGTCTTTACTCATCAATAAGTTTATTTTATCACAACGACAACCTTCGACACCACCGACGTCATTATGCAACGAAACAGACCGGACCACCACCCGGAGTCCGCGGCGCCCCCACCACACACATAACAGACACACGCTACGAAGTAATAAAAAAAATCCTATTCGAAAACAAAAAAACCCGGCTACCAATAATGACACAACAAGACCATGAAATGCACGAGACAATAGAACGCGCGTGGAAACTTTTTTTGCGTAATAGACGTCGTGCGCGTAATTTAGAAATGCGCGCGAAATATCGTATGATTCGTAAAGCTAATTTGGAACTCGAGAAATTGGATCCTCAGTTATTTAAGGTTTCGCTGAACGTGCATCACGATGATCGGTTGTTTCCGAAAAAAATGAAGGTTCCTACGGAAACTCCCTCTTTGTCTGGGTGGGATTACAATTATGTTCACGTTGAGAAGGATGATGAATTGGATAAGAAAGGTGTAGTTGGTGACGATGAGGATTTTGAGTAAGGTTGAATCGTGTTTATATGATTTAATAACAATTAACGGTTTCGTATTATTTATTTTCCTTTTTATTTCTGTAATTGCTTTTCTACAGAGTTCAGTTTGAAAGGTAAGGTATTAAATAAATAAATACATGTCAAAAAGTTCATTTTGTAATTATTTTTAGATTTTATTATTAATCTAGTGTGAAGCAAGCCTTTCGTTTCTTTTTTTAATCTCTCATCCGTCAAAAATTATAATAAATAATATAACGAAAAATTTTTGTGATGAGAATTTATAACAAAGGGGAAAGAAGAAAGCAAAATAAGATAAATAAATCAAAAAGATTTCATTCAAAAAAATTACGTAACCATTCAATATTAATCATAAATAAGAAAAGAAAATAAAAAAACTACTGTCTATTACCATGATTTCTATATAGAATATCATAATGACCAGGTCTATACAACAGCACCAATGGCTTAGATGGGACAGTTACATGTTGTTGACCTGTTGCATCTGGATAGAACTCGTGGAAATTGACTTCTTCCAATGCATTAGAACCACTCATATACGCAATCTCTACTGGAACTTTGAGAGCACGGGTCAACACGATCACGTGTAAATGGTCAGCTTCTTGGTCCATCACTTCAACGAAACGGTTACAATAGCTCTCCATGCCAATATCCATTTCAAGGAATGGTTCGAACTCGTCCTTGTGGATCTTTAAATATGCCGCGGTCACAAGTCGAAGATAACAGACAATGGAATTGGAAATGTCATCGGTTTGAAAGACCGATAGCAGAGTATCGTGATCGTGTGTCCCTGCCGCAATTTTTTGCATCTCATTTAAGACATCTTCATAGAAATTCTCGTAGCCCAATTTGTCGTAGCCTGCTTGATCGAGAATTTGTATAGTATCGGCGAGTGATTTAAGCGCGTTCTGCTGTAAAGTTGGTTGATTGGACACCAAGAGTCTTTCGAACCAAGCAAAAGAAAAAGCTAAATGAGAAAAAATTAATTTGTGGATCACACAATATTTATGAAATAATCGAGCTTTTGCTAGAATGTATGAATGAATGAATATACCTCGATAAAAACAATTGCCATCACCTCGACATCGCCTTATTCTTCCATGCCGAACAGCTAATTTCTATTCAATATAACAATTGAGCCAGTTAATTAGAATTTTTATATTTATATCAAATATAATACAAAACTAACCTTAATCTTATTTTTATACACTTCACTTCCATATTGATACTCATCAAACAGCTTTCTAATATTCTCATCAACACACACTAACGGCATTCTTTTAGTCTCTTCTTTAATCGATTGCTCAAACGCGAAATTCTGTTCAAACATTGCTCGTTCATCGAGTTGTGAAGTATTCTCATTTGTGAATTGGGAAGCATTCCCACTTGTGGCTTGGGAAACATTCTCATTTGTGACTTGGGAAGCATTCTCATTTGTAACTTGGGAAGCATTCTCATTTGTGACTTGGGAAGCATTCTCATTTGTGACTTGGGAAGCATTCTCATTTGTGACTTGGGAATTAGCCGTGATATTATTTTGGTGCTGTTGTTGTTCTGAAGTCGTTTGTTCGCCGGCGATAGCTCCAGTTTCATGTTGTTGTTCTGAAGTCGTTTGTTCGCCGGCAATATCTCCGGTTTCGTGTTGTTGTATTTGTGACGCATTCTCGGGAACAACGGCTTGATTTGCAGTAGAACTTCCGCCCTCACCTGCTTCTTCGCTTCTTACATTCGGCAATTTCACTTGTGTTTGATCTCCAATATTTTCTGAAGTTATCTCTGTATTATTATGCGGTGGTGCTTTGTCTTTTCTTTCAGTTAAATCAGTTACTGCATTATCATTGGCGGTTTCTTCTGTTGTTGAACTGGGATCTTGAATAGTATGTTCGCTATCTTCGGACTCAATCTCTTCTCGATTTTGAGATTTGTTATCGTCGCCGCCACCCATTATGTCTTTTTGAGAAGAAACAAGGTTCATTAACGCACAATTGTTTAAATATTATAATAAGCATCAGCATGTTTATGCGTAATCAATCAAATTTAGAAGTAACATTAACTTTCATCATCCAATCGTCGGCGCCATTATAAAAAAAGATATACCAACTCTATGACGCGTAATTCAAGTCTAAAAGCCAAGATATAATGGGCTTTTACTATGCCGCATTAAGACGCGTTCTTTTTGCTGCAGCACAACCTCGAGTCTCAATAATAAATAGTATACCAAGACCTTCAAAAAGTCATTTACTTAGCCAAGAGACGCAAGTTTGTTATTATCCATTAGTTGCGAAAATTGGATGCTTAATACAACTGAAGTATCAAACACGCTCATTCGCGTCAAAAAAGAAACAAGGAAAAGGAGGGAAAAAGGGGAAAAAAGGGCACGAAAGCAGTGATAGTGATGACGATTACGAAGAGGAAGAGGAGGAAAAAGAGACTTCTGACGTCGTAAAAGATAAAAAAGCAAAAAGAGAGAAAGCTAAAGAATCCAAAAAAAGCGTGGCTTCATCAACTCCAGCTAAAACAACAACAGCAACAGCAACGAAAGAAAAAACAAAAACCGGTACAAATGGTGACGATAATAATGAAGGAAAATTGGATTTAAGTAAATTGGAAATCAAAATGAATGGTATAGTGGATCGACTAAAAAAAGAGTATAGTACAATGAGATTAGGACGTGCAAATCCTGGTATATAATGATCTGTATATATGAATTTTCTGATTTCTGAATTGAATTAATTATATTCATATTTAATTAGCTATCCTTGATCCTGTGACTGTTCCTTATGAAGGTGGTCATGCACCGTTAAAAGATATTGCGCAAGTGACCATAAAGGATCCACAAAATTTGATGGTGAATGTTCACGATGAAGAGGTTGTATTTATTTACTTACTCGACCATTCTTTTTTCCAAACTATCATTCATCTGACTGAACCCGAAAATTAATTTAGTTAATAGAAGATGTCCAAAAAGCAATTCTAGCCGCGAATCTCAATTTAACTCCAATACTAGACGGAAAAGGGTTAAAAGTTCAAATCCCAAAGCAAGTTATAAGAAATTGATGTCTCTATATGCATATACGCATTTAAAAAATTGAGTGATTTGATCCTTTATTTTTTTGTGTTATAGAATTACGACGGAATATCGGGAGGAAATGGTAAAAGTCGCGTCAAAAATCGCCGAGAATTCAAAGATTAAATTACGAAGTATAAGACAAGATGGGTTTAAAGATTTGAAGAATGATACACGGCAAAAGTATTTTACCATGGATGAATCCGCGAAAATGGAAAAGAAGGTATTTCTATTTACACATTTAAATATGTTATAATAATATGGATTTTCTTTTATGGTATATTTGAATAGGTAATTCATGATATTTTATTTTTGACAGGTTCAAGCAATTGTCGATAAAACTTCTAAAACCATCGATGAAGTATTGAAAGCAAAAACCAAAGAAATATCTGGAATATAGAAGTAAAAATAAAATAATTTATAATCCCTATCAGTATTAGTATAATTTTGAACCTCTCATTTTCAACTCGTACATTACACAATTATCTGAGATCTGGCATCATTATTATGAAAAAGTTAATGTTACGTGAATGATTTTTTACGTACCAAAAATAGCCACTCTGCGTGTTGTTACCTGCATAATTAATCAAATTTTCCTTGCTAATTGGTCAATTCATATGCAACCTTCCATTATTGAATATTGTTTAACGTGCGTGTAGTTTTTCGAACGGCCATTCCAAAATACACCTTTACATATACCACTACTTCCTTTCGCTGTCTTTCGCGCGCACGCAGACACAATCAAAAAATTTATCGGGAATTCTTGTTCTTTTTTGGCCAACCCATTCGCCTCTCCTTTGAATATTTACTCATAAAACTTGGAATACACATTTTCAAATAAACTAATAAATATAATACATAATGTCTCCAAGTGCAGTCGCACCTACTAGTGGCATCGGCATCGCCGACTTACCAAACCAGAGACACAAGATTGTCGCTAAACGCGGAACAAACTTCACACTTATGGTGGTTGGTGGGTACACTTTCTTATAGATTTGGGCCATTGACCTAAAAAAATATTACGGCTGGCACGAAAAACAAGATGGCAAACTTTTGCGAGGCTTTCATCTTATTTTATACTTGCGGTTGTTTTCTCTAATTTTTAAGCAACAACTAACGTATCATGTATACATTAATATGATGACAGGTGAATCTGGGCTTGGCAAAACAACTTTCATCAATACCCTCTTCACTACTACCATCAAAGAAAAAAAGAACCAAGCTAAACGTCACGCAAAACAAACGGATAAGACAGTAGAAATTGAAATAACAAAAGCGGGTGTGTGAATTTTTCTTTCATTATCAAATAACATTATTATTATAAAAACGCAAAGAATAATCAATATCTCCAATAATTTATCACATGTCGCCTTTTTCTACCCTTTCGTTCAATGCAGAATTAGAAGAGAAGAAGTTTAATGTAAAATTGACTGTTATCGACACTCCTGGGTTCGGTGACTATGTTAATAATCGTGATAGCTGGCTACCGATTGTCGAATTTATTGATGATCAACACGAGTCATATATGCGCCAGGAGCAGCAACCACTTCGTAAAGAGAAATTAGATTTACGTGTTCACGCTTGTCTGTATTTCATTCGTCCAACCGGGCATACGTGAGTTTATTTAGCAATAAAGGATTTTTTTTGTTTGGATAAGTCGAAAGTAATTTAATGAATTTTTTTTATTTAGCCTTAAGCCATTAGATATTGAGATCATGAAACGTTTGGGTTCTCGTGTCAATCTTATTCCGGTGATCGCAAAAGCTGATACTCTTACACCAGCCGATTTGGAGAAATTTAAGAGACGTGTATGTTGTATTAGATATTTTCTTTCTTTATGATGTTAATCTAGTATTAATATATAAACATATATTTATATGTATATAGGTCAGAGAAGTTATTGCTGCTCAAAACATTCAAGTCTACCAGTGTCCAATTGAAAGTGACGACGAGACTAGTACTAAACGTAACATGAACATCATGGTGCGCGCAAATAACTTCTTGGTTTTTTATTTATTCATGCACAAATATAATTTATTGTCTATTTTTTTATGAATTATAGGCAGCAATGCCATTCGCAGTTATTGGTAGCGACCAAGATGTAGTTACTCCTGATGGTCGCAAAGTTAAAGGTAGACAATATAGCTGGGGTGTAGCCGAAGTTGAGAATGAAGATCATTGCGATTTCAAGAAACTCCGTAGTCTTGTAATTAGGTATGGTGTTTAGCGTTTAATGATCAATTAGTCAATTATAAAGCTAATTATATTTATTCGCAATCTAGAACGCATATGTTGGATCTTGTATCTACCACCGAAGAGATACACTACGAAAACTATCGTCAGTCCCAGATGGAAACTAGAAAGTTTGGCGAGGCAAAGTGAGAATCACTTTTTTACTATATTTATGTATATCATCCATTTGATCTTATAATGATAATTAACCAATGAATAATATTAATCAGACCAAAGAAACTCGATAATCCTAAATTCAAAGAGGAGGAAGAATCTCTTCGCAAACGATTCACCGAGCAAGTCAAATTAGAAGAAAACCGTTTCCGACAATGGGAACAACATGTATGCCATTCTACTTTTTATCAATTTAATATCAATTGCAGTTACATAACGAAATGGAATATATTCTAATTATTGATATTTGATATGTTTGAATAGTTGATTGCGGAACGTGATCGTCTTAATAAAGACCTAGAATCTGAGCACTCGCACATCAAATCCCTAGAATCCGAATTGGAACAGGTTCAAGGAGCTTTATCCAATCGAAGCGGCAGAAGATAATATACTTGCAATGTCGCGGTCACGGTTGCGCTGTAGCCAACCAAATCGATTGATTACTTTATAACCAACAAATGTGTGAGAACGCACGAGGGATTTTTCTTGTGTTCTCTTTCTTTCAACAACTACTATTAAAACAATTTCTTTTTTATTACTAATTTTGGATAGACAATTAATGTTCTCTCATCACCATTATTGATCAACTAATTAATTATTTATTATTTATATATATTATACTATTTTATTTTTATGGATTTCAACCTGGCCGTTGTACTATATTTATATAAACTTAATTTATTATTTTTGTGCGTGTGCGTGTGCGGGGTAGTGCTAGTATAATCATCTAGTCAGTGGATTCGGTATCACTGCACAAAATCGGTATCTTCATTATATTATTTATTGATATACATTTATTTAGAGATTTTTTATAATTTTTGGGAGCCGGAAAAAATACAAGTATTTTTTAATATACTGAAATTTTTATCTATAGATTGTTACATGATTCAGATGATTTTAGTCTAACGCTTTATTTTTCGGCAGATAAAAAAAATAAAGAATTTTCTAGAATTATCTCAAATTCAGAAACAAGATTTTGTCTTACCGATCAGATCTGATCATCAACGTGTTTGAAAAAAAGTTTTAATGTATAGATAAATTTCACAATAATAGTCTATTTTATTTCCTTGCTTCATTTTTTAACCGTAATTACACAGTGACCATTAACATCTCTACAAAAAATGGCTCGTTCCAGATCTACCAGTAAACAGCCAAGGCGTGGAGCAAGCACGATATCTAAGCCATCACCGAAGCAGACTTCTGTCCCAGTTCCTGTTACTCCTAAACCAACAGGCGTTGCTCAACCAGCAGGCGTTGCACAACCGCAACAACCAGGATTAATTGGTCAGGTAAAGATAAAACGCGATAAAGAAGAGCTTCTTTCATTTTTAATAATATTGTTTTATATGTTTAAACAATACACAAGATGGCCTCTACAGCTGCAGGCGTCGCTGTTGGGTCAACTATTGGCCATACTCTCGTAAGTTATTTTGCTTGTCTGTGCCGTAATATCATTCGAGTTATCACCATCGATTACAATTTTTTATTCTTTCATAAGGGCTCTGGTATTGGATCACTTTTTGGTGGTGGATCTAACCCTGAACCTAGTGTAGCACCAGAACAACCACAATACAATGCTCAAACATACCCGGTAAAAATGTTTTGTCAAAAATGGCGACCTTAACCAAGAAGATTTGTATTGACTTGAAGTTTTTTGATTTTTAGCAACCCAACAATCAAGGATTTCAAGGTAGTAACCCGGCTGTCAGTGGTGCTTCGTGCGAAGTAGACGCTAAGGCTCTGACAAAATGCCTGGAGCAGAATGGCCACAAGATTGAACTTTGTCATTGGTATTTGGAAAATCTGAAAGCATGCCAGGAGATGGCGCGACAATTCTAAGGACCTCTTGATTTTTGTTTACGATGCTCGAAATAGTCTCTTTAATGTAATCCCAAAGGACTTCAGTTATAAAACTTTTTCCACGATTCTATGTCTATATTCAATATAATCAATAATCCAAAAGACACGTGATACATATTTGTTCAATAATAAAATATTTTGATTAACTTTTTTCTAAGATTCTATACGTGAATAATATTAAGAATTAATGTACAATTTCGTGGTTGGGTCACTTTTATTTAAAAGCCTTTCACTCTATAACATCCTCATTTTTGTTCAACAACTCGCGCGAACTTTCTCGAATCAATTTCAAAAAACTCGCCAGTTTGTTGGTTTGTTTTAGCTCTTTGTAAAATTGGTGGTCGTCAAACGCTACAATGTCAGCAAGGTGTATGCTTTCCTTCAAATTTCTAAAGAATAAATGAATTGCATTAATGAAGAATTTTCTATAAGAAAAGTTGATCGTTAAGCCGACTCACCCCTCGACGATTTGGCGTGTTTGAAATAATACTTTATGATATTGAAAAATTATTTCAGGAAAGTAAATACACCGTAGTCGTGAATATATAGACTTTAGTTTTTCATCTAAATAATCAGATCATGATGGTTAACATATGGTATGCATAAAAGAATATGGGTATAAATTTAGACATACTATCATCAAGTTTCTGTGCTATTGTCGTTGATAAAAGATTTTGAAAGCTGTCCTTTACTTTCAAAGTCTTTGCCTATAAAAAAATATTATTTTGATTATTCACTACAAACTGATAATAGCATATAAAATACTTACGTGAATATCTTCTTCCCAGTCTTCTATTGCAGTCATTTCACTTCAAAAGAAAACAACATAAATTACATCGACAATAATAATAACTAAACAGAAAACATACTATAATTCTCTACCTGATAAAAGATCTTTGCCGCCACGCGCCCTCCCAATCCTCATAAGAAATAAAGAATTTTACAACACATTGATAGGAAAGAAATTCATATACTGCGGGTTCTTTACCATCAGAAGAATATAGTAAATAGTTTATGGTGGTGAAGTCTACAAGGAAGTCCACAATCTTTTTCATGCCATTTAATTTGCCCGATACTGAAATTTAAGGAAATTTAGCAATGAGAACGGCGATAGCGATTGTTAAATATTACACCAAATACTTACCCAAAAGCCGTTTAGATAAATCATTAAACTGGTCAAGTGCATTCAGCAAAAGTTCTTTTCGCATGGGAAGGAAAGAGAACCATTCCAAAGTAGAAATTTGATATTCATCATATGTATTGAGCTTGGCGTTTACGCTCGACAGTTTTACATTTGAAATAGGAGGCGCCACAGGTTCCTGAAATTAAGGAAATCAAATTCGATTATCTAATAACATCATTATAAATTGGCCTACCTTATAAAAACATATTTACCTTCTTTATAGCTTCTTCAAAGACCATTTTTACCGTAGTTTGGATTATATTCTCTCTATTCAAAGCAAAGCTATCAACTATATCAATATACTTCTTTCTTTGTTCCTTGCTAATAATGCCCAAACCTACGAAGAATAAAAGTATTAAAAATAATAATTGATTCAAGACTTTATCTCACTCACCTTTTAAAAACTGTGCATATAAGTGTATAGTACGCTCATTAGGAAGTCTTTTTAAATACAAGAGAAGATAATCATGCTATACAAAAAAATTCAATATAAGTTATGGTGTAATTTAAAGAAAAGCACATAATAATTTGAGATCATGAAGAATATTCATTACTTTTTTGAGAGCAATCAAGACATCCACATATTTTTCAATGATTGCATCGTATTCCGGACGATGAACTAATAAACAAATTTCACATAAATATAACAGAAGATGCGTCGAAAATCTGATAATTTCGGCTATTAAAGACTCGCTAAAATTTAAAGTCAAAAGAGATGTTAGATTCACATCAAGATAACGAAACTTTTCACTTTCACGAATTGAATCTTACGGTATATTAAGGTTTGCGATTTGTAAAATTTGTGAATATATATGTGGAAGTATTTTTTCATATTGATCTAATACAGTATATTTTTGCACCTCATGATAAATCGTATGAATTATGTCATTCCTTGAATTGGGATATCTGTATGTATACATATTTTTAAGAGAACGACATTTATATAATTATTCGAAAAAAAGAAATTTAGGCTAGAAATCTGGACAAAGATGCGTTTGTACCTCATTTCGATATGACCTTCTGCGCGTTCGAATACTTGTGGAATATCAAGATCGACTGTTTCGCGTTTCATTTGCAATTCTTCTTCGACAGCTGGTGCCTCTGAAGGAAACCATCTAAGATGCTGGAAAAAAATACAAAATTATTTCGGAAACAGAAAAACAAGTTACTGAAAATATTTTTACCTTTTTTTCTTTTCGATTAATCAATTCCACATAATACGCCCATAGAAAATCTTCCCAAGTGGAGCATACGGGAATTATCTTTAAAAAAAACAAGAATTTTATTAAAACGGAAAAGCAATATATAAGCATTGCTTAATAATTTACGTTTTTGGAGTCGCCACAAAGGACAGCATAGACAGCTCTTTCGTAAGTATCGATGTTAGGCTAACAAGGATGAATAAACAGCAATAATAAGTAATTTGAAAGTAAGAAAAAACACATAGAATTTACTAAATCAACCTCCTTTGCCAACTGATAGCAAGTTGCTTCCCATAGAGTTCTGGCAAGATTACCTCTCGGTTGTTCTATTTGATCTTCTTTTATTAAAATTTTTAAAATTTTGACAAAAGGGTAAAATTGGACATGTTGCCAAAAAATTCACGGATAATCACGCAATTCATACCGTCAGGGAACACGCAAAATACGCCCCACCCAGCCAAGCTTGCAGCTCGCCAATTTTGACCATTATTTACACAAAGATCATTTGCTTTTTTAACTTGTCCTCTTCTTAAATATTCGAATATTGACCGATTTAACTCTCTTTCGTGTTGCTAAAATATACGTAAAATTAATTACATAACAAATTTATCAACAAATATTCATTCACGTACTTCATCACTTTGAGCTAAATGTTTGGATTGACGATGTGACGCATCCGGATCAAGTTCGGTGACAATTTGATCAGAACCTGTTTTATTCTTATGATGTATTTCGAGATATTTCGATGTATGCGGCCAATACTCTGAAACGGTTTCAACAGTTGCAAATGGCGGCGCAGTTTCTTGTAACCAACGCTGTACAACCTTTAAATTAAATTATTTAAATAGTTATAAATTATCTTAAGTAGTTTTTTGAATTTATCTCAAAAAGATTACTTACAGTCATTTCATAAAATTCCTTGTCAATATTTTGACGTAGATCGAGGTATTCACCATATCTTGCGAATGGGTCAATTTCATCTAATGAACTAAGCCTTCCACTTTGAGAATCTTCTTCTTCTTCTTCTTCCATTATAGAGTCTTCGTCCACTTGAATTTCTTCTATTTCCATTTGCTCTTCGTTAATCTTTATGCGTTCACTTTATATATTTGATATTAATTAATTGATTAATTAAGTTGTTTCAAGACAAACTCCAAGAAAAGTATTATAATATCATAATCTCTTAAAAATAGTTACTAACAGTTGCATTCTGTATAGTATCATCCACGTGTTTTTTTCCGCTTCAAACAATTCACGAAATCTCGGTAGATTTTCTTCAATACGACTCCCACCACCACAAATTGCATTTGTATAAATATCATATCTATCAATGTTTTTATTTAATTAATCATTATTCTTGTTTTACTATCAAAAGAAAATAAAACAAATGAATTACAACTTACGAATTTTTGCAAATCTCTGTGTATTTTTCAGCTGTAAGACTTGCAGTCTCCGATTGGAAAACCTCGGCAAAACCATTATAAACCTCTAATGCCTCTGTTTCTTGTTCGGTGATTGGTAGCCTATCTTCAAAAATGTAGAAAAATGCTTAAAAGTTATAACTTGCAAAACAAGGTTAAACCAAGACAGACGATGTATAAAAATTACCAAAATGTGATTGGGAAGACTCTTGCTCTAATCTCTAACAATTTGCAGTAAATGAAACGTGATACGATTTTCAAGCTATAGAACACGTAATACGCGAAGATTTGAGTAAAACTAACCAGTTGATAAGGTCTTATAGTAGAGGCTGCAACAGAGCTCCCAGTAAATGGAGTTCCATAGATTCCTCCTTCTTGCGGCGGTGTGTAGAATGTCTGAGTGTCACTACTTCGCGAAGGTGTATTTAATAAAGGATTCCGATGTAGAGATATAAATGACATATTTAGTTTGTGTGTACGCCGCGTTTTTCGAAAAATTGGTATTATTTATGGTTGACAACAATGAGATTTTGTCGGCCAATCAAACGAGACGAATTTCTGTAGATAAAAGTTCATCAGAGATGTCATCTTTGATCGAAACTTGAGATTTTTCGCGAAAGCGTGTCACCGCAAATATTCAACAACAGCTATCCATTCGAGCATGTCGAAAACCAACAGCAACATCGCTTACTGGTTTATATCTGGTAATTCATTGTTTTTACGTTCTTTTACAATTTTAAAGAAAAATATAAAGAGAAAACAAGTACCCTATAAACTTTTGTTGGCTTGCGCTGTACAGTGCCGGCCAAAGGTGACAAGAATATGGTTTTCCGAAAACTGAAGGACAAAATTTCGGGCCTGGCAAACGAATACTCAGAAACTTATCAATTTATTATACCCCAATTCAAGGTATGACATCGGAAATAGTACTTTTGATTTATTCTTGTTCGAAATGAAGTTGTCATAATTTTTACTTTATACTCGATTCATTATTAAATGTTAGATTGGCACACTTGATGGATTGGTCATGATTTCCGATGAACTTTTGAAGTTTGATCAGGCATTCGAAGGGACCACGCTTAAGCTTCTGGACATTCTTCGTAATTTATTAAAGGGAGATATAAATCTAATCAGGGCGAATTTTGTGGTGAATGAAAGTACGTTTTATTCATATTCACAATATAATATTTCCGATGATCAATTTATGAACTTGTTCAAAAAAATAATATTTCAAAATTTCAATAGAAAGTATCGACAAATACCTAGAGACTTTTCAATGGAACATTCAGAAATACCGTGAGGACAAATCCCTACAAGAAATAGCCAACTCTCTTAATCAAGTATGCTTCTTTTTTGTGTCAATATACATAGTGGAGCATTGCCATCAGTATTTTATTGATTTTTATTATTGTTGTTAGGAAGTGTCTGGAATAGATAGTCTCATGAAAAAAAAACTTGCTGATTATAATCAGGTGAAAGGCAGTCTTCAGGCTTTGGAAAGAAAACAAAAGTATAACTGAAAATATATTTATTCGTTTTCCTTGTTTTTTTTTCCATTGTCAATAATGAATGCTAAAAATCTATAATTTTAAATTTGTCAGCGGTAATCTGTCAGTAAAAAATTTAGCTGATTTCGTCAGAAAAGAGCATTTTGTTCACGATTCAGAACACCTGGAAACTTTGCTGTTTGCCGTTTCGAGGTATGGCAGTTCAAGATCAAATTCGCATCTTTATTCATTTCTATCAATATTTAAAGATTCTCGTGTTTAAAATTTAAGGAATCTCTATAAAGACTGGTACGCAAAATATGAAACACTTACACAGATGGTTGTGCCTCGATCTTCAATGTAAGATTTTTGTTATCCTGGTAATTATTCATTATCACATACTAAATTAAATTTAAAAATTGCATTGCAACTTGCTAGTAAAATTACCGAGGATGATGATTATGGCTTATTTACTGTGACACTTTTTAAGAGGGTTGCTGACGACTTCGTAAACAAAGCTCGAGAAGAAGGGTAATAATTTCTTTAAGAAATTACAAAATACATTTTTTTTGATTGGTAATATTAACATGTCTTGTGATCAAATAATCTAGATTCACCTACAGAGAATTCAAGTATAACGAGGCTGACATAGAAAATCAACGAAAACAATTACAAGAGATAGGCGAAACCGAAAAAGAATTGTCGGTAAGAAGAGCTCCGCCGTTCAAAATATATATATAGAGAGAGGGTTATAATCAGTTTAAAAATTTTTGTTATTTTCATCTAAGGTGACACTGCTAAGATTGGCAAAAACAAATTTTGGCGAGGTATTCTCGGCTTGGATTCATTTGAAAGCATTACGAGTCTATGTGGAATCTGTCTTACGATATGGATTACCACCTGATTTCATGTCAAGTATAATAAAGGTGTGTGGGTTGAGGTCCACCTGTTTCTATTTTTCTTGACCTACGACATAATTTTTGTATTCCCTTTTCTCTAGCCAAAACACAAGCAGGAGCATAAAGTACGCGAAGTCTTAAACAAAGAATACGGAAAACTCGGCGGTATTCTAGGACGCGACACGCAGTCAGAAGAAAATATCGAAGAATTTCATAATTTAGTTGATAAGGATTATTATCCTTATGTGTGGTTTCAGATCCATATTGACCTTAATAGACGATAAAATGGTTGTGCAATTTAAATCTGCCGTGAAAAAAAGTGATAGCATTTGTTTTGTATATTGTAATATTAACATTATTATTTATATAAAGGCATTAATTAGTTAATTTATTTAATTTATTAGTAAAATAAATTTAAATTTTTCATATTGCAATGCAAAATTTTTTATAATAGTCATTTCTTTACAGTTCATCTTTAACATCTTTAATCATCAAGCATTTCAGCGTAATCATCAAAACTAGCAAATGTTGGCAAATGTTTAAGTTTTTGTCGTTTAGTCTTTTCAGGTCCGACTGCAATGATAATAAAAGAAATAAAAAAGACGTTCAGTATTACTTAATTACTTATAAAAAAAATAGTAAAATCTATATACTTCCAACCTTTTTTGTGTTTATTATGATTCTTGGATTCTGTATCATAGTCATCATCATCATCATCATCATCACCACCATCACCACCACCATCATCATCATCATCATCATCATCATCATCATCACTTATTAAGTCTTCCTTATCTTCTACAAAATCATCTCCATCAACGGAATCTTCTGCTTCGGGACTACCAATTTCCTCCTCATCTTCATCAAATTCAAAATCTTCTAAATCATCTTGATCATCGTCATTTTCACCAGGATCAAAATCCACATTTGGCAATCCTTTAGTCATGACACGCCATATTTCTTCTTCCTCTTCTTCATCGATCTCTTCCTCAGAGCCCATGAAGCCAACATCTTTTTTATTAGGCTTTTTCTTTTTTGTTTGTTTTGTCGTACCACCCAATGACGCTTGTTTTTGAGTGAAATACTTGTGGAAAAATATCTAAAAAATTTTGAACAGAATGTAATGTCATAACATTAATATCTAACAAAAATAATAGTGGAGCCGGGAAACCTATACAAAGAGCCGCAGTAACACATCCTAGTTATAAATATCTATTCCAAATATAGAAATTTTTTCACCAACATTGCATTTTTAATAGTATAATTTTTGAGGGTTTTGTTGTATGAACGCGAACCTGCCTATATGGTTTTCCCGGTCCTAATATAACGAAATAGCACCACTAACCTGGTCAACTGGTATATCTTCAACTTTCTTTCGCCAAAACTCTTCAGAATTCACCACTTCTTCTTTCGCAATCCCTGCTCCTTTTTTCATCGTTAAAACACCAGTTGTGGATGCTACAGAAGGCTGCATTATCGAACTTCCTTTAGCTGAATCCGATTTTTTCGGATTTCTATATACGAACCGGTCAAGAAAATGAGAAAGTGTGTGAAGGTGAAGATCGGGTTGTGTCTTTATTGGGATACTGCTGAGGAGTTGGCTTGCATATAATGCCACTGACGGGTGGAAATGATTCGAAAAAGAGCACTACAAAAAACAATATTCAACTCTTTTATGAGAATTTATGACACAAAAAAAAGAGTGTTATTTGTTGCAATGACGAAAAAAAAACTTGCCAGTTCCCAAAGACAAGTCTGATCCGCATTACTATATTGAGGATCACGTTTCCTTCCATCATATTTTTTATGCGTGTTTTCTTCTGATGCTGATTGTTGTGACGAAGACACTTTATTAAACTTGGGTTTGTCTGAAATTATAGAATCATCATCATTCTCTTCCGGCACATCAACAAAATGTTCTTCCTCATCATTTTCTTCGGGTTGATAGATTAGAGCTCGAAGTCCTGGTCTTAGATTCATCAACTAAAAGAATATAATACAATTTAATCGCGGCTTAAATAAAACTTTACAAATGAGCAATTTCATGATTTCTACTTCATATTTACTTCTGATATCAAATGAAACACGCCACAAATAAAGGGCGGTTGGTGATGAGCAGCCGTTTGCAATATTCGTTTGATAAAAGCTTTGACACGCGCCATCGACTCGTCAGCTTTGAGAGCCTTAAATAGCAAGTTTAGATATATTGCATGCTTCGAAGACGTTATTAGCCGAACGTCAAACAGTGATTCATAGAGCGTACGATAGAATCGATCTAAAATATCCTATAAAAAATTATTTTATTTTGATTGATTGATTAAACAGAGATTCACAAAAGATCGAATTTTTTTTGGTAGGCACAACTATTTTTACCTCTTTTGCCGAACAAACTTGAAATATCAGCATCAGAGCTCGAACACTCGTATTGAATGTGCCAGAATAAGTTATACGAAATAAAATGTCCATGTTACGATTATATCTGTGTGAAATGACCAGAAAACTTGATCAATTAATCAGTTTAATAAACATATTTATTATTTGTTGGATACGTACACATCCTCATCCACTTTTGCAAAGGGAAAAGCACGATTGACACCAGTCAATACTGCCGCAATGATTTTGGAATTAATCGAATCATCACTCGGCAAGACCTGGTAACTATCATTTAAAGACCCTTTTTTTTTCTTTGCAAAATTCTTTTTGTTTTTACCAAAATTATTATTGCCTTTTCCTTTTAGTTTTTCATTCTTTCCAGAACTCGATTTCATATTGTTATCTCGTTTATCGGTATTCTTAACACCCAACAGCTGCCGAAAGAACACGAAATATACATCGATGAGCTTATTGGCTAATTCTACTTCTTTTCTCATCAATATCGTTTGGTTGAGACAGATGACAGCGTAGTATTGCGCATGTGGTCTCGAACTACTTAGTAAAAGGTATTGCTCGATTTCACAAACTATTGCCAGTCTTAGATCACGACGCGTATTTAGTAGTTGTTGAATGAGATACGTTGTTTTAGAGGCGACTTTTTTATCGTTATCTCCCTAAATAAATTCAAGTTAATGAATTAAGTTTTTCCCTACGAGTCGAAAAATGAATTATGAATTGAAATAAGTTCGCATACTAATTTGTTAACCAAGAGCTTCAAAAGGTTTTGTTCTTGTTCGGGTTTGCTTTTTACAAGGCCAAATATTGTTTCGACCATTTGCTGTCTCACGTGAACGAGCACATCATGAGAAAGCACCTGATTATAAAAAAATTCCATATTAAACAAAATCGAAAATCGTGAACTTGTCACAAACAAAACTACTTTAATAATAATTAATACCTCTGTTATGCTTATTAGCTCGAAATAATATTTTTTAAGATAATCTTCAAACACCCACAAAATCAAATGCCGAACAGAAACTTTCGGATCTGACAGGGGTTGATCGCGAAAATACCTAAACAATGATAAAAACAATGAGCCAATCCTTCAAGAAATACCAACACTATCGCTATCACAAAAAATCTTACTTTAGTTTTCGTGGAGGCAGCAAAGATTCCGTCATAACGTCTCGTAGACTCAAAATCGCGCGTAGAGATTCGTGTCGATTATTCTTTTTCGCCATAGCCATCAACGTGTCCATCGATTTCATAGCGTGTAGAGGCGACGCGGATATCACTACTGATAAAGTGGATATTTTGTCATTCAAAGTGCCCGATTTAAGCATAGCTGTGTAGAATGCACGATCTGATGCTTGAAATGGGGGGTTGGATTCAAAGCGTGCGTTCTCTTCTTGTAAGAGTTTTTTTGATTGTTCGTATATTTTTGTTATCGTTTCTTCCGAGAGATTTTTATTGGATGAATTTTGGATGTTTTGTTCAAAATGGATGGTATACCATTGTGGATTTGTTTCAAAATACTATAATGAAGGGTGTATTAAAATTATGCAGTCCATAATCGATTTAATAGACATACCATTTTTGATTTATTCTTCGAGTTTAATAAGCATTTGGGGAAATATGTTTCTTCCTTCGAATCGTCAAGATCGATCTCTTTTAATAAAAGCTTATTATCAGCTTGTTTTTGCGAATCACGCTAATTGGAACATAATGACAAATCTAATTTATCTATCAATTCAAGGATACTCAAAAATAAAAAATCAAGGCTAAATTTTTTATTTAACCTTTTTGAATTTGCCATTCTGAGTTCTCTTTTTGCCGGTCAAAGAGATCTCTTGTTTACTGTTCTTTTGCTCTTTTTCGGTCAGTTGATTCTTACGCTTGCTAACTTTATCTGAGCTATTACTACTTTCGTGATTAAGCTGTTCCTTTTTAACAACGTTTCGAGATTTTCCTGTTGTGCTTTTCATGATAGAAAATTTCGAAACAACTACCATGCATACGCCAAAAACTTTGGAAATGTCTGATCAACATTACCCATTTTTAGTATCAGTGACACATATATTTCATATCGATATATTTGAAACTTCGCAGTGTATACCTTCATAACATATACAACATAACGAAATGTCAAATATGAACCCAACACATTTTCTTGGAGCTGGGATGAGCATGCCAAATCAGTTGGTAACTATGAATGCGGCTGGTCAAAGAGTTCTGACCCCGATGCAACTAACTGCCATGGCACAAGCACAACCAAACCTCAATTCGGCATATAACTATAATCTCGGCTTTCCGACAATGTTAGCCGCTAACACAACTAACATGGGTGCAAGAGTACCGCAACTTCACCTTGGTATGGCTGGTTTGGCACAAAGACAGCAGCCCATTACAAAGTGAGTGGCATTTAAGTTATTTCATTTGATTATTTAGTAGCCTGTCTGGCGGAAGGGTTCCCGTTATTTCCCAGCTGTGTCAAAAGCTTCTTGAAAGTTAAACATGGCACGTAAAGGCTGGCTCGTTATTGCGGAACTATTGACATTTGAGAACCTTTATTGAATGTGCATATTGTTTTATTTAATAACTTTTGACTTTGTAACCGATAACTTTAATAGACCTCCTTTAAATCAGGGTCGAGGCATACTAAGAATAATGCTCTTTGCAGACTATTTAGGAGGCGAGGTAATTTAATTGTGCTTACTATCAAGTTGTAGTCAATTGAGTACTGTTAAAAAGCATACTCACATCATCATCATCGATTATAGCATGATCCAACGAAGAAAATTGATAAAAAAGATATCATGTATTGGACACGGTTCGTAACAGAATTCTTTACAGAAGACGGCACGATGCGATATACATTATGGAATTCAAAGACACAAGAACCAAGAAGTTTTGGTATGGGAAGAAATCATTGTTGAAGCATATTCATCCTAATCAAAAGTGATCATTCTTCTAACATCTCATATAACAACTCAATCACCAGATATTGCAAATTCAGTAATACCAAGATATTACCAAGTGAACTTTGACTCTGGCGTGACCGGCATACAACTAATACTTGGTCACGCACGGGAACATGTTTCCCCCGGTTACAACGGACTTCACGCAGGTCACACAGTTGACTGTCCGCGGGCCACCATGATATATAGCTACGAAAACGGAACGCGGGTAATTATTGTCCTAAAAAGCATGTTATTCACTATTGCTCCATCAATTTTATTTCGGTTTGTCTATATGTAGATTGTTGCGACAGGGCACTTGAGAGTTAGATTGACGTTGGCACTGAAAATTGAATACATGGATTTCGCTACAAGAAAACACGAGGAATATATACCAAGAGAAGCAAAAGATATTCTTCCACCAAGTCCTGTTAATGATTACGGGATACCAGTGAAAACACTTCGAAGCTTGGAGGTAACTCGTCGTTGATCATGATAATTAATAGCGATTATAATGTTTAATGGTGGTGATGGTGATGAAAATAATAATAAAAATTCAGATTAATCAATAATAAATTTTTTTAGATAGCTGAGGGAGTAGCACAATTAGATGACCTAATAACGATAACACTGCATTCAAATCAAGGACCTAGAAGTAAGGCAATGTTCATATTCTTAAATGTCATATCAAAGAGGTTTGGCTTTGAATGGACATAAATAATAATGTCTTTTACACTATCCATACAGACATGTTGCGTAGGTTCGGAAATTTCCCAAATATGACGAATATGGCAAATATGAATATGACGAACATGAACATGCCGAATATGACGAACATGAACATGCCGAATATGCCGAATATGAGTACACCTCTAACACCTGGCCCTTCACCGCCTAACGAACCCGCAGTGAAAACATCACCAAAAAAAGAACCGGAAAGCTCGATTGCAGCTGAAATGATTACAAATCATAATAGTAATAATAACAATAACAACATTATTACCAATGGCAGCAATCCGAATAATAATGCTAATACTAACAGTAATAACAATAACAATAATAATAACAATAACAATAATAATAATAATAATAATAATAATAATAATAATAATGGCGGTGGTGGTGGTGGTAATAGCAATAACAATAATAATGTCAATGATGTCCCAATTTCATCGCCGTCGCTTACAAATAGTATAAAAAATGAGCCTGCTACTCCAAAATTGCCGGCAAAGCCATCACCGCGAATTAGTGGTAAGTAATGAAAGATCAGAACTTGATTTTTCTTTTTGATTGATATATAGCCTTTGTAATTGATTATTTTTATTGTTTCTATCGAGTGAAGAAAAAAGACCAGCCGAACCAGGACCAGGGAACAATAAAAAACGGCGTAATACCAGGAAAGCTAGTCGTCAAGATTCTACATCATGATGTTGATGAAACGAATCCCACTGTTATCCTCTCCTTTGTACAAAGAACTATGCCATTTTTTTTTATTCGTTGTTTATTTTTTTTTGGTTTGTAAATTTCATTATCGAAGTGAGGAAGAGAATTTTTTGCAGTTGAAGTCATTTAAAGCTCGATTTATACTGTATATGTAAAATTCATTTGTAAAGATTCCTCTTTTTTCTTGTAATCATTTTGTTTTTTTTTATATCATCGATTCTTGTTCTTTAGAGTTTTTGTTTTTTTGTCAAATTGGATTTTTCGTGTAAAAATATAATATTCTGCTCGTGAAAGCAAAATCATTTCTGATGAGATTTACATCTCGTCAGAATTCTTGTTTTTTTGGTAGTGATGTTGATTATCTTTCCATATGTTAATTGGTTCAGGTAACACAATTCAATTATGGTCAGATTATTAACTACTTCATTAATTCATCTAATAAGAAATCTACAATATCATAATAACAATGCAACAAAAAGTGGGAAATGCAAGGATTGATTTATTTTATTATTATATATGTAAATAACTCTATTAATAAAGATATAATAATTTATATTATTTGTCAAATCTCTAGTAACCAATCTCCAAAAATAAAAACTAAAATCGTAAATTTTTACTTTGGATCTATAAATTAAAAAAAAATATTGATTAATCTTTTGATTTTATGTCTAATAACAATAAAAAGGATAGAACCTACTTATCATATTCTCTGGCTTGACCCATTCATCAAACTTTTCGGAAGTAAGCACCCCTAACTGAACTGCTGCTTCTTTGAGCTAAATATTTAAAGAAACCGAATTAGCGATTAGCATAATAAGTATATAAATTATTCGGACCAAAAAAAATAGATATTTTAACATACAGTGAGATTTTCGTGGTAGGCCTTTTTGGCTACTTTTGATGCATTATCATATCCTGTCGCAGAAAATCAATAGATATATAATTAAAAGAATTATATATAGCGATATTACTATGAGTGCTATTACTTACCTATGTGTGGATTTAAAGCGGTAACAAGCATTAAACTCTGATTCATAAGAGTTGTAATCTATTGAGTTAAAAAAATATGAATTTTAGTCTTAATACAAAAAGATGATCGAAAACCAATTAAGTACAACTATATTTATTTAAAATTGATTGTTTACCCTCTCTTGATTAGCTTTGATTCCAACAACACAATTCTTTGTCAGCGAAATACTTGCATCACTCAAAAGGCGAATTGAATGGAGAAGATTTCTGATCAAGACAGGTTTGAATACATTCAACTGCAAGGTTATCAGAAAGAAAATATTTAAAGAATTTTACATTGTGTTGTTTTAGAATCAAAAAGAAAAATAATATTTTTACTTCAAAATGTCCATTCGAGCCCGCAACAGTAATCGCTGTATGATTACCCATAACTTGAGCAGCAACCATAGTCATCGCCTCACATTGAGTAGGGTTTACTTTTCCAGGCATAATGGACGAGCCGGGTTCATTTTCAGGAAGTAAAATTTCTCCAATGCCACATCTTGGCCCAGAACCTAGTAGTCTGATATCATTTGCAATCTTCATTAGTGAAACCGCGATAGTATTTAATACGCCACTCGCTTCGACAATAGCATCATGAGCAGCTAAAGCTTCAAACTAATAATATATAAAATAAAGAAGCTATATAAACACAGAATGTAAATAAGATTTTTCAGTAGAATATTAATAACCTTATTGGGGGCAGTTTTGAATTGCAGGCCAGTTATTTTCGCGATTTCCGAAGCAATATTAACATCGAAACCTTTGCGGGTATTTAAGCCCTATAATGTAGAAAATCAATCAAGCAAACCACCACAAATAGACTTTTATCGATCAAAAGTGAGAATTTACTTACTGTTCCAACAGCAGTGCCACCTTGAGCCAAATTATATAATCTCGGGAGAGCACCTTCGATCCGCTCTATTCCATAGGTTAGTTGTTGGACATAACCCGAGAATTCATCGCCTAAAGTAAGAGGCGTAGCATCCTTATAATTAATTAGGTAATTAATGATTAAATTAATAATTAATTATATTGCTTGTTGATCATATAAGATATGTGAAAATAAACCTGTAAATGAGTTCGACCAATTTTGATTATTTTTTCGAATTCCTTAGATTTTGCATCGAGAGCATCTCGGAGAGTCGTTAAAGCAGGAATAAGACTTTTGTTAATCTCGGTCGCTGCGGAAATATGCATAGCTGTTGGGAAACTAATTCATAGTTAATATCTCAAAAGGATATGACACTTAATATATTAGTTTAAATTAACTCACCTATCATTCGAAGATTGGCTCATGTTCACATGATCATTTGGATGCACAGGATCTTTACTACCAAGTTCACCACCTAATATCTCAATTGCACGATTGGAGATTACCTAAAAGTAAGAATTATAAATTATAAAATATTTACCAATAAAAATATTTTTTCGAAATAAAAAAATAAAATGTAACTACTTCATTGACATTCATATTGGTCTGCGTGCCAGAACCAGTTTGCCAGACCACCAGTGGAAAATGATCTGAAAGTTTTCCTTCGATAACCTAAATATAAAATGAACAACCCAAGTGTTAATTAATCGAAATGTGAAGACCAATCATTCATAAAATACCTCATTAGCAGCCTCGATTATCGTATTTCCTATCTTTGAATCAAGACCATACGTGATATTTACAGTGGCAGCTGCACGTTTTAATACACCAAATGCCTTGATTAAAGGCTCGGGCATACGTTCTGCGGGACCACCGATATCAAAATTTTGAAAAGACCTAAGAAAAATGATGATGATTACGATGATCGCAATTTGTAAATACAAAATTCCCATGTGCAATTTTTCTGGACGATATTTTATTTCCTTATTATCATAGAATAATAAAGACCTTAATTTGTAATTAGTACCTTTGAGTTTGAGCACCCCAATAACGGTCAGCAGGCACTTCTATATATCCAAACGAGTCTTTTTCACGTCTGTATTTCTGCTGGGATGCCATTTTAGCGAAAAAGCAAAAAATTAAATCATCAATTTTATCATATATATAAGCACGTGACTTTGAATATGACGTCTTTTATTTATTTACCCATAGTGAGGACGAAGCACCAAACGAACGATACTGCAAGAAAGATAATATCTATCATATAATTATCGATTAATGCATTGAAAATAAACGTTTATTGATAAAAGAGTCGAATGCGTACAGAAGGGACTTTCCCTAACTTAGAATGCGAGTTCCGCAACATGAAAAACGAAGAAGAAAACAGATGAAACTAATCTAAAAATCGTACATATACTACTTTAGTCATCGATCATCAAAAATCAAATTTACAAATCGTTAACTATATTATAAAGACCGAGATTTTTAGATTCGCTTCGGCTGCTATAATTTTTTTTAGAGGACGTGTTCTTCTAGTCCCTTTATCATATTCAAAGAGCACTAATAAATTTCCCACAAACTTATTCTAGAGTCTTTTCCACCAGCCACCAAGTAATGATGCTTCGGCTGTTGTTCATTCGCGATATCTTCAAGATTATTGTTACTATCGCACACCTCTAAATTTTGATCTTTATTAGCGAGTTTACTAGTATCTTTCACATTTCTGTCTGATTCAAGATTTAATAATTCGGCAAATGCTAAAGCGTGTACACTTTCGTTGTGATATGAAAGTATAGCTAAAGGCTTTAAATTTTTAGCAGAGAAAACACGAACTCTAATAATAATTAAAGATATTAATCACAATGTTCATTGTTATATATGGATAGACACCTATGAATGTACCATTCTTATTGTATTCATCAAAAAATACTCGCCTTGCATCCCATCCGGCAGTGGCGAAAATTTTACTATCAGATCTAATACAAACATATGAAATACCTGGTGTTTTGATTTTCATCTGTGATATAATCGGCGGGTCTTCTATAGACTGATTTAAAAAAAATTAATGAATGAATATTCAGGCTCTAAATATATTGATAATAATACATCACCTCAGAAAATTCATATTTGATTATTTTATTATCTCCTGAAACAGAGATTGCAAATGTCTTATCTCTCGAGATATCAACGCTCAGAGCTTATTTTTAAAATCAAAAAAGAAACCCACAAATCAGATCAAATTTTGACAAAAAATTTTCATAAAAACTTTGAGAATTAATTACCGCTCTCTGAATGCTCTTTTATGGTCCAACATTTTGTCCAGTAGATGCTACTGCAATCAATCTTCCATAATACCACGTTCCCATTCTCATAAGCAGCTAGAATATAATATTGATTTTCGGTGTCACTTTTATTGAATAGTCTAATTGACATGCAATATCCTAAAAGATATAATATAGCATTTGTAATTATTTTTTTATTACAAGTATTAGAAGGTAATATTATTAGTAATACCTGAATTTTCATCGATTCCTACGCCATCGATTAATCTTTGTTGATTAAGAAGATCCCATATATCAATCTGGGAAATTTTAAAATCAAAAAAAAATGATCATTTCTACATATAAGAGAATTTTTAATAGAACAAAAACTACCCCAGCAGAATTGGTCAAATTTGGTACAGCAATCAACAAGTCTTTAGCGTTTTCAGATTCTTTTTTAATAATCATAAAAGAAATAGATATTAATTTATTTATTATCCAACAAACAACATATTAATAAAATCAAAATCTATATTATTACCTTGCGCGAAAATTGAAAATTGGCAAAAATTCAACGAGTTGACTGTAAGACTAAACATCGGCTTCAAAGGATCAGATGCAGCATTTATTAACACATCAGATTCATTATTCCATACGTGAATCTTATTATCTCGCCCTTGACTAACAATTAATATTTTGAATAAACACGGACTCAAAAAAGAAAATTAAAAATATAGAATCCGAAAAAATCAACCTAATCAAAAAATCTTTCCATGTTGAAATATTAAGAATTCCTTCATGATGCGCTTTAAATTTTAAAAGTGGACGTCTGATTTTCATATCCCATATTATGATATTTCCTTCAGCATCGCTAAATGAACAAGATATTATGTGATTTTATAAAATTAAAAAAATTTAATATTTCAATATTGAACCATACCCCGATAATAATCTTTTATTATTCTGATAAAATTTTAACACGCTTATTTGATCTGTGTGACCACGGAAAATATATTCTGGCGTTGGTGCCGCTTTAGATGATGGTTTTCTATTACTAGACGAAGCTAAAGACATCTTTTACCTTTTCGTTATTAATAATAATGATGATTATGCCGTTTTAAATAAACACATTTTTTATGATCTACATGCGGAATTGTGGTCGCAATTTTCATAAGTCACATGCTTCAGAATATAACAATAATATTTATAAACAGCCAAGTAATATGAATGTTGATTTACTAGCTCATTTTTTTTAGAAATTACAGAAAATATCTCATTTATTTTATCTATTCCATAGTAATTACCAAGCAATTTGTTCTTATCTTCATCATATATTGCTAATTCATATGGAAAAAATTAATTCCAAATTTTATTATATTTATTAATAAATTTTGACACTGTTACATTCCTTTAATTATTATTAATCTATATTTAATATTGTTAATGTTGTATTATTTGAAATACATTTTAATATTAATACATTTTAATATTAATATAAATTAATAATTATTTTAACAAATTGAAATTTTCTTTTTGTAGTAAAAGTTTCAATTTCATAAATAAAAACTTATTTTGAAAGTTTTATCAAGCTTAAATTATAGTTTTTTTTAACAAAGCAAACACAATTATTATCTTTCAATTATTTTCAAAAAGCTAATAATAATTATGCACATTATAAAGTTTTGTTTTATTGAATATTGAACAAGAAAATGCATTAGTAATTAAAATTATTATTTTTTATTTATTGTCAAGAAAGACAAAAACTCTTATTAATATAAAGAAATAGTTTTATTTGTTGTTAGAATTAAAACAAAATTAAATAAACCAAACATATTTATTATAATATAACTTCATGATTTAAAAAAGTAAATTCAAACAGTGAAAGATATGTAACCAATATTGAGAAAAAACAAGGAAAAAAGAATAAAAAAAGTAAAACAAGAATCAAAGAAGGATTTGGCGTGTCATACTTTGCCAAAACCTTCTTCACTAACCTTCTTCGCTAAGAGACTCGCGAATCTTTAATCTAGTCAATCTGGAGCACTTAATAACGATAATATAAATTGTGCAAATCATCTCAATAAAATGATTTTGATTTCTATCAGAGATGTTAAAACAAATGAAAAGAAAATTATTTATATTGAATTTCGTAAATTAGATATTCTCTGCATCACTAATTTCTATACATTCTTCGTCAAATCACTCGATAAATTTAGTTTTGTAACCACTCGATTTTCTGGTTTGCCATTCCAACATTCTGTATATAAATGCACATAGCCGTCGGGTGTCCCTGTAATTGGAAATTCACGCATGCCATTACAACACTATATGCTATTGCTGATGGACTGATGTGTCATTCGTGGTCTCCAATCATTGTGTTAAAATTCTTTTCAGATAACTCCGAAGTGACCCACCGTTGGCATACTCGAGAACAAGCAAATAGTTCTATACATGAAACTAACAAAACAACTTACAATAAGATAAATACCTTTGGTTACTCCGTAGAATTGTAATACATGAGGTGACATGTAGTATCTCGTAAGAGTTGTAACTATATATAAAAAAATACATGTATTATTTGCCGAATAAGATTAAATGCTATAAGTGGAAATGTACCTCTTTAACTACTTCTCGGTATTCTCCAGAATTTTGCAAACTTTTTAAACTTTTCACAGCAATATTTAGAACCAAAGCAAGATTGGGATTCCATTCAGCACGCCTAACTTGGTCAAAACTCCCTTCGCTAAGAGATTCACATAGTTTAAATTTTTGGTAGTTAAATGAAGTAATATGTTTTTCTTTATGGCTTTTCTAGCCATTCCTCAGCACTGTTAATCGCCATTTGAAAGAATAATACCAGTAAAATCCTATCCTCGGAAGTTGTTTGAGTATCATACTAACGATCACATAAGAGTACGTAGCGGTAGTACGATCAACAAAATCTTCATCCAAATTCAGATACTTATTTGTTTTTGCAGTGATCTACGAATAACCCAACTCTAGAAATTTTCTTACGAAATTATAAAATGCCGGTAAAAGAAATTATACATTTCAAAACGAATATATCCGAGTATTTAGAGGGCTTACCCAAAATTACCCAAGATCGTTTATATCGCGAGTCTGCCACGTGTCTTGCTATTTTCAGGTATTCTGTATTGAAAGTTAGATCAAATAATAGACCTCAGGGATTTCGCATTAATTCACCAATTAATATTTTATTTAAGACTGCTCCCGTCTCTAGCAAAGCATTTTGTGAACGCCTTGTTGTATGTAGAAGACCCTTTCTTAAAAAAAGATTTACAGCAATGGATCAAGCCAGAGGGAGCTTCGTATGTTAAAACAAATCTCTTGACGTGATTTGTTTAAATATAATAGCTGAAAAAGCTAAATAAAGTTGGTGGCTTGATCTATTTGGCTTTCTCAGTAAACTCGAAGAGAGTTGGGAAAAATTATCGCGATTACATATATTGGCGGAAAAGGAAGGGTACATAATCATGAACAAAACTTTTCGGGAAAACTACAGAAATTGTCTTACTGGCGGGTATGTATAATATTATGTTTTCCCAATTTAAAATTTTTCATTAGCAATCTTAATTAGAAACCTCGAATTGAGTTTTTCGTGATTTTATAGTGGGGAACATCAATCTTTTGGTGTTCCGCCGAGCTCCAATGACAAGCATAGACCAGAAAATATTATCGAGTTTCTAGATGATTATGCAAAAAAACAATGGGAGTCTATATTGCACTATATGGTTGGTACGAGAACAAAACGTCCAGGGAGGGGGGTAGTTAATTTACTTACCGAATCAGGACTTATGGCCGAGAGGTTTGTCTTTTTAATAGAATAATAGTTGGCAAAAACTTTTGCACTTTTTAAGAGCCGCGAATATTTATGAAAATGAATTTTTTAAAGGCATGATGGAGACGAAGATCCGCAAATAACAAATAGAGGATTTCAATTTCTACTACAAGACATAAACACGCAAGTGTGGGCTTTTTTACTTCAATATCTAGAACTTGCAGGGGTAAGTAAATAAATATCGTACAGAAATGGCAAATCATCGTCAAACCAAAGTTATCTTAATATTATACAGCTAGCAATCTGTTATTATGTTATTTATATACTAAAATATTTCTTGAAGATTTGGTTTATAAGATGATGGTGATGATGATTTCGCCATAGTACTTGATTTCTTTATATATTCTTGGGGTAGGGGTTTTCTTTTTGGTTTGCATTTTCAGAAAGAGAAAAACCCTCAAAGCAATTATCCTTCCAATTAAAAGATACTGAAAATGGATCTTGTGGAAGTTCTCAATTTCTATTTCTTATTGGGAAGTTTAGAACTGGGGCAGGTTTATATTATAATTCATTCATATTCATGTTTTCTAATTATCCGATTTTTTCTAAGAGATAATAATCTTTGATTTCATTTATAAGGATTATTCAATCGATCAATTAACTCCCACACAACAGCAGCTCATAGAGGATTTAGCGTATTACGGTCTCGTCTATCGTAGAAAAGTAGGTGCCAGATTATACATATAATTTTGTATTTCTAGAAATAATCGACTGCATATTTTCATATGATGCTTTGAATAAGCGAAATTTAAGAAACTTTCTTTTTGTTATTCATTAGAAATCTTCACGGCGATATTATCCAACAAGACTCGCCACAACACTCACCTCTGGTACTAATATGACGTTTACTAAGCAACATTCCATAAGTATAATAAATCCGCTTGCTGTAAAAGATACACCAACAGAACAAGGATTTATTGTTCTAGAGACAAATTATAAACTTTATGCATACACAAGTAATTTATTTCTTCATGTATCCTTGTTATATGGCATTCTAAATAATTCTTTATGTATCCTGGTTATATGGCATTCTAAATTAATCTCTATATTAATGGGTTAATAGACTCGCAACTTCAGATTTCTGTTCTCAATTTATTTTGTGAACTGACTGGTCGTTATTCAAATATGGTAACTGGCATGTTGACAAGAGATAGTGCAAGGAAAGCTCTGATGAGCGGTATAACAGCAAATCAGGTATTATATTTGATAATTCTTTTTTCTAGTCCAGTGTTTTTTTTTAATAAAGATAAATACTTGCCCGATATTCTAGATAATATCGTATTTGGCATCACACGCACACCCTCAGATGAAACAAAAGAGTCCTGTACTTCCATTAACCGTAATCGATCAAATACGGTTATGGGAGATGGAGCGAAATCGCTTACAAGATACTGACGGTATGGTATTCTAACTGTTATTAATAATATTAAAAAATTTCAATCCAGAAGATTCTGTTGAAGTTTGCTTGATTAATCAAATATTTTTTTTTCGCTTTATTAAAGCATTTTTGTATACAGAATTCAAAAGTGATCGCGACTTCAATAGTATTCTTGAACACGCGTACAAATTGGGGATAATTATATGGGCCAATCCGACTAGAAGGGTATTTGCTGTAACTGAGGATGGGCATCCACAGATACGTGAGTTCATTAAAAAACGTATGAAAAAAAATGGGCCACAGGCCAGTGGATCTTCGTCAAAGTGATGACTGTCAGCCAGATTATGAGTATTTTTTACATCAATGAGAAGATATTAGCAATTTTTCTATCGATATATTTTATTCACATTTCATCTATAATGCATGAATTCGAATAATCAATTTGTTTTTTGTTGCTATTCCTTTAAAAGGAATCAAACTTTCTTATAGTCGAATTCTTTGAAAATTATTTTTTTAGTGTTGTAAATATCAAACATTTACAAAAATCAATATAGATCAAATTTTAGCGTTAACGTTAACGCTAAGGTATCTAAATGCTAATAGACATCGCTAAATTGAGCACGATTTCAATATATCGATATTCATTAAATGTGGGGAGCATGATGAAAAACGGATTATGGTGAAAATTTGCAATATCTATTATAATAAGCTATTTATAGCAATTATAAATTTACATAGTATATAGTATATAGCAATATAAATATTATTGCAAAATTAATTCAAGTTATATCATTATTTTCAAAATATTGCTCTTTTATTATAAGAAATTATCGATAATTCTGGCCAAATGATCTCATGATCTGCACAATTTTGGCCAAAATTTTCACCATAATCCGTTTTTCATCATGATCTCCCACATTAAATCGCATAATAAAAATATGAATCAGTTCAACAATAAATATGCCATGAAACATCTATCTGTTGTTCCAGCTATAATTTCGATTACTATTTATACTTTAAACATAACGATAACGATAAGATTAAGTCTCGTTTAATTAACTGCAACTACTCGAATACCCATACTTCTCAATTGGAAATTCAGTGCTATAGTAAATAAATCAATCTCAGGGTTTATCCTATTAGAAATTATAAATCCATCTACTCCTTCCTTATAATTACTCTTTTGTCATGGCCGGTCTAAAAAGTAAGCGAATTACATTAACTCATTCAGGCATTGAAAAAATAAAGCAAGCTCGAGTTTTATACTAATTTGCGACTATTTTTGAATCATCGTAATTAGCGTAAGTGACCTTTTATAACTTAGTTTAAATGTACAAGATGGAGGATAAATAATCAGCTTGATTCGGTTTATCTAGACTTTAGATTTTGATTCTTCTTAAATAATAATATATTATTGTATACACCTAAAGGATCATTGGCTTAGCTTTCGTACTAGCTGTAGGATTCTTACTTGCTATTCTGTCATGCGCACTTAATAAGTATGTATTTTTTTTTTCGTTGGACTAATGTGGATTCAGAGATGCTATAAAAAATTAATTCATTTTATTGTTTATTATTATGTAGTAAGTGGTGGCCACTCTTTGTTGGTAAAATTTTTATATTCTTTCTTTTTATTCGAATTTGATCTTCGGTTAACGATTTTGGCTATAATAAACTTGAATACTCTACAAAATCAGTGGCGACATTTGTTATTGCACCCTTACCAAACTGGATATTTGGCGGATGCTCGAATGGAGATGATTTTTATTCGGAAAATTCAAGGTAAAGAATGGCATCCTAATTTTTTATTCTATTCCTATGATTTTAACAAAGTTTTCTTTCTTTTAACTATATTAGTAGTTTAAAAGATTTTGGACAGTTTCTTACGGGCATTCTGATTGTGACCGGATTTGGTAAGTGTTTATTTTGAATTTTTCTGGTTCAACTACTTGATTTTTAATGTTATATTATTTTATTTCAGCATTACCTTTTACACTTGCTCACGCCGGAGTGGTACTTATATATTATATTTTTGATTTTGCAATCATTTATTTTTATTAATATTATCTTTGTAAATTTTATCACAGATAACGTATGCAGCCATGGCAATGAGCATTGGTGGTGGAATTCTCGTTTACTCGACAAGTAATTAATTAATTTTTATATAAATCTTGTTATTTCCAATTGGATACGAAATTCTAAAATCAAAAACCATATTTTCATAATCGTTTAGTAATTGCGTATAAACATTTTTTCGCAAAGGACGGGAATGATTTTTAAATGGAAAAGTAAGTCAGCTCCTTGAAGTTCAACTTGATTTTTTCGGGTTAATATACATACAAAATAAAATTTTAATTTTAGTAAGAGACGAGACTATACTTGAATAAGAGTGTCTGTGGGTTATTTAACTCTATCTGGCTGTTATTTATTAATTCATACATGTATTTTTTAAATTTATTATTATCATTATCGCTAATTTATGAATAATCATGACCGAATCATATTACCATGAGCTGAAAAATTGATCCTATTAATTTTAGCCTCAATAAAATGAGCTCAGCCCAAATAAATACATATAAATATTAGTGAGTGGCTACACTTCGAAATAATAGTGTGCGATTGTATATATTGCGCAGTCACGAAAATGATAATCCACGCGAGAAATAGACCCGCCACTTTTAGACAACAATAATTGAATTCATTTTCCGTCGTTATGTTATGATATTATTACATGTAATTTTATTTAAACTTTAATTTTTTTTTCGCAACAAGCGAATTAATTAAAGATAAATTCGAATTGATACAGCAACGCGTCAAAAATATGACGAAGAATTCCTCAAAACGACAAAGAAGTACAACCATCAAATCCATTATAATCGATCGTTCTTCAAAAAATTATCTCGTCTTTTTCCTTTTCACACTAATAATAATAACAATAATAATACCGTCACCAATAAATGCCCAAAATTGTACCGCAACAAATGACTGTCAAAAAGGACAACAGTGCAAGTCAAACAACAAAGGTCGACAATGTGTATGGATATGTGCCGATTATACCGACTGTCCAAATACCGGGGGAACTTGTTCGAACGGAGTTTGTCTTTACGATTCTGATCAAACGTTAAATATAACTAGCACTTCTTCAACGCCAACTCGTTCTACATCTACATCTACGTCTTCACCTACGTCTACGTCTTCTTCAACATCAGAAGAAACACAAATTTTCGCAAATCCTCCTTCAGGAACTCCAGCAGTTGTTTCCGACAAATCTTTTGAAAAAATCTTTTTAACAATGCTCATATTAGTTGTGGTCGGTGCAGGCATATTTGGCATTTGGTGGTATCGTAGACGACGCATACGTATACACCGATTCCAAACATTGGTGAGTAATACTCCACGAAATTCAATTATTAGCACCTCGAATACTTTAACGCGTGGAATGGAAGAAAGAGGTGATTTTTTGGATGTTCGAGGAATATCACCTCGAGAAATTCCACACGATAATAGATCATCATCTAATGATGATGTGGTACATCAAGCTGCCGCTCTGACTGTTGGTAGTGGTGATAATATTACATATGGAGCTGGTGTTGGTGGTACAAGTGGTGGTGTGGCTGGTGGCGGTGATTTTGAAGCAAATACGGAAATCGAAGAACCACTGAATGAAACTACAATCTATGGTGATACTGGTGCTTCCACGTCTTCAATTGATCTTTCCGCTGAAGGGATACATCCTCATCATGGAGAACCTTACCCGGATGATGAATGAGAAAATGACGACTGAGAGAAGTGGTTGATAACAAATTACTTGTAAATATATTTACCTTGATTTTTTTATGTATCGGTATTATTATTAAAAAAAATTTATAATATTCAAGATATAATTCAAGCCGCCAGCAATTAATGGATTCGTATATATAAAAATACATGTGTATAGTTTTTTATTTGTCTGTTCGGTAATAACTAATAAAAGTTATGAATTATATTTAACACGAGTATCATTGAATAATAAAAATGTTGTGATATTTCTTATCTCTTTATAATATTATAATGAATAAATAGTAATGAAAGAATGAAAATTTTTTTATAGTGTGTGGGAGTGCAAATGCAAATTTAAATTTGTTTGTTATATATAATGAAATCAAAAAACTAATCAGAAAAGTTCGAAATAAAAAGTTCCCTCAAGAGAAATAGGTAGTAAATCAAAAAGCAAACAAACCAAAAAAAATAATATAAAGAAAAAATATACATAAAAAAAGAAATAAAGCGATTGAGGATTAATAAAGAAAGTGTGTTCTAATGAAGTGAAAGTGTATGCGCGCGTTGATTAATGACATTGATGCTCACGGTAATTGTTGAATGTGAAAAATGTGTACAAAGGATATTTTCACTTTTAAGAAATACAAAAGGAAGAGAACCCGGTTATCTGAAGTAGCAGTAGGATTAGTAGTGTGTATGCTATCGTTTTTGATTTAGAGGAAATAATTGGGTGTGGAATTGGTAAGGGAGAGGAGGGACACTTATTGATAGTACTAATAAAAATAAATAAATAATGCAATTTATCTATGACACTTCTATTTAAAATTCTAGAGAGAACCAGAGTTAAATTTTTGGTTTGAATTTATTATCTAACAAAATTAAAGAACCTAAATCCCAGTCTCCCAATCGTAAAGATAATAAATAAAATTCATTTGCACCAAGTGCTTTTAAGTGTCCAGCTCGAAACCAGCAAGTAAAAGATAAAATAAATAAAATAGATGAAATCGATTCCTGTATGCCTCATGCGGTCACATGTTCGGGAGTAGGGGGAAGAGTTTTGTTTAGAATGTTCGAGTTAAGATAAACTACTTGTGACGAAAAGGGAATTCGAGGTGGCAATGGAGGTGGTTCTAGATTATCAAATATGGTCAGATTATTTTTATCATTATTTGTGATTGTCGTAGTTGAGGTCGATGCCGAGGATCTTATTGAAGACGACGACGATGATAACGACGGGGCATCTTGTGTGGCAGTTGAATGTAAATTTGGTGTTGAAACATTACGTCGTAGTATAGAAGGAACAGGAGGTGGTGTAGGGGGAAGAGGATTATCAAATTGCGAACAGTCATTAAAGTCTTCATGATCGATACTAGCACATCCTGAATCATGCTTGTTCTCAGGGGAAAGACTTGGATATGATCCTGGCATTGCACTTAGACGTTTACTCGGTGAGCATGTACCACTTGAAGATGTTTGGCTTGAAACTGAACAAGTGGAATCTCGACGACGTGTCAATATTCTACGCGTGATATTACTAATTGATACACCAACCAATGACATTCGTTGATTCGTGGTAATGAAAGATGAACCTGAACCTAATGATACTGAATTTCTACCGGTGCGATGATTTTCAAGGAGTGAAATTATCGTAGTGGATGACGAGAATCTAGATCGAAGTGAGCCAGATGATAGAGATTTTCGTGGTGGTATTAAAGTGCTTTGTGAACATGAATTATTATCGTCATTATTATGATTATCAATATTATTATTATTATTATTATTATTATTATTATTATTATTATTATTATTATTATTATTATTATTATTATGATTATGATTATGATTATTATTATTATTATTATTATTATTATTGTTAGAATTCGAATTTGGAGATTTCGTGCCCATAAATGAAGGTGGTTTCAAGAAGGAGGATGATGACGACGTTGAGTTTGTCGTTGTTATTATCGAAGAAGGTGAATTCTTTGTGGGTGTGGATGGCGATGATGATGATGATGATGAAACAAGACTATACGATATTGATTGTCGTGACGAAGATGAAGATGAAGAGGATGATAACTGCATAGCACCAAAATCTGAACCTACTATTGAACTCCTCAAAAATTTTGGTAGTGAATCTTGAACCATTAAATCGAAACAATGTTGTTGTAATTTATCAAATGAATCTGCCGTAAACTTCTTCGATTCAATTTGTCGCTGACAAGCAGTCTTCATATCCTGAGGAACATTCAACGGTTTCGACGAAATATCCTCGTCTAAATACGTTTCAAATATATGAACAGCGAACGCAGCAATCTCCTCAGAATCAGTATACGGATAAGTATCTGATGACGCATTAAATATTGATCGATACTGCGAAACATCCTCGTAAAAATCCAGATTCTCATCACAATACTGTGACACTAGATATTCGCGGAATTTGGTGCACGTTGTTTCATTCTCGAGTATATTCAGTAATCGTATTTTTCCCGATTCACTATGCGTTAAACTTCTCTTGAGCTTAGTTGGGTTGACGTTGACGATAGTTTTCGTTAAAGGTGATTTACGTTTTGCATCAACAGGTGGTGTCACCGTTGTGGAAGCTTCCGTGATGCTATCACCAAGACTTGGACTTCCATCGCTAGAAACTTGCCATTCAAAAGCTGGAAGTTCCGGTTTTCCATCACCATTGAGGTTTTTCCCCTACAGGCGAAATTTTACAAAGGTCTTGTTTACGAGTCTATTATAGCATCGTTTCTTTGTTTCTGACATTTGATAAAAAAAAATAAATACCTCTTTTGATCTTCTATCTTGTAGAAATTTTAGACCAAACCTCAACATGGACTTTTCGTGTTAGTATATATAATATAAAAAGAATGGAACCGACACGGTCGTAAATGTGAACAAGGGCAAGAAATGAATTATTTAAATAATTACTATTTATAATACTATAATAAAAAATTATTTAAATACCAAAAAAATTCGAAAAATAATAATATAAAGGAAGAGGACGACCAGCAGTAAGTTTGTCTGTCTGTGAGTTGAGTGAGCGAACGAGTAAAAATAAAGGGGGCGGGGGGGAGGGTGTGGTGGTGGTGGTGGTGGTGAGTACGTGGAGCGAGTATATAATATTGGATAAAGAGTGAATAAAAATAAAGTTATATATTAGTGTTGACTAGTGTAGCTGTAATATGTATATACAAATATAAGGACTCGCCCACCATGGTACGCGAGAAAAACGCGATGAGAGTGGTGACGAGAAATTAGAAGATTAATTAATTATACTACTCCATATTTGGCATGTAACAAATTTAGCGTTCAACAACATTTAGCTTAAGGTAATTCGGTCTCGAATTAAAAGATACCAAAAAAAGTTCTACGCAACAGCTTGGATGCAATGCATACAATGCATATAATATGAAAAACTAATTTATACTACTATTACGGTGTATCTCCTCACACATTGTTTATTTGATCAATTATCTGCGAACAAATCGATGACTGTTACGAACTATTAAGCTTACTGACAACCTTTTTTTCAATGTATAATATGTCACGTTTTGTTACAATCTAAAATTAGAACATGTTTTTCCTTCTTTTCGCGTAACGGTAATATTGCGAGAAACAGAAATGTATTAGATGATATCTCTGCATATCCAAATATTAACCTTTAAGCCAATGAACATAAAGATGTATTTTCATAGTAAACATGCTTTTTGATCATCTTTCTGTCTGATACGGAAAATTTTCGATTGGTTGCTTGAAAGATCCGCACATTGTTCTCTCGAAATATTTTATTGTAACTCGAATCTAATTAAGGTTTTTTATATTATTACAGGATGGGTAAAAATTATATACATTTTAGAAATATCAACTTGCTGTGCTCAATGACAACAAAATCGCGTAAAATTGCGTTTCCAAACAATCAATAGAGAATCGCAGTGAAACATTTTTGTTAATAATATTACAAACAAATAAATTAGAATAAAGTTTCCTCAAATATCGAGAGAACATCTACATCTTCCAAGGAACTATCAAAAGAGAAGAAAAATGTTAAATTTTACAAGTATAAAAATGCATATTTAACACGCAGATTATTAACCTTGATTTATTATTATTATTCTTCTTCATTGATTGTGATGAGGAGGATGTTTGTTCATCTGCTTTGGTCATGTTTTCAACTGGAATCTCACCTAAATTACACACATCTCACATTAATAATTTTATTTGCTAAATAAAGACAAGAATGAAATTGCTTACTTTGTTTGTGATTCTCTTCCGTTGTCTTTGCTGCCTGTGATGACGTAGTATGATTATTTAGCCAAGTTAAGAAATCCATACCAAACCCACCGCGAGGATGTGGAATACCACGAGTTTCGTCCACTAAAGATTTTTCTTTGCTTGTGAAGGAATTCACGTTATGACCAAGATATATAGTGTCGGGGTGTTGCTGTTCACTTTGTTTTTTGGAGTCATCAGAATATAATGTAGTCCCATGATACTTGTCAATAATATGAGAATTAGAAACAGTTTCATTGTTATTCCGGTAATTATTTTGATAATCATTTGGTGGGGAATTTTGTGAGGTGGTGGTTATTGAACGTGGTTTCGTATCAAAGAATGAAAAACTATTTGATGATGAAAAATTCGGTGTATTGGTGAAATGTGGCTGCTCAGCAGGTAGTAAACTCTTGGCTCTTTTGAGATTAGTGGGAGACGCTTCATTTGATTTGTGCATATTGTTATGTAATTTATTGGGTTCTGATAGGGGTGCAGCGAAATCGTCAATAATTTTCAGTGGATTTTGCGGGCTACTACCAATGGTACTGTTACAACCACCCGGGCTCGTTTGGAATGGATCGTTATCAGACTGACATACACTATTAGCAAACTGTTTCGTTCGGAATGGGTTGTTATCATACTGACATACATTATTAACAGACAGGCTCGTTTTGAATGGATTGTTATCAGGCTGACATACATTATTAACAGATAGGCTCTTTTTGAATGGGTTGTTATCAGACAGACTCGCTTGGTGTATTGATTGTGCTCGATAATCATTCGAAGTAGAAATTTGTTCATTAAAGTTGTCGTTGTAATCATCAAAAAGATCATAATTTTCATCTTGGAATGAAGTCATCAAATCCTGATTTTCTTTATCATTATAGTCCAAATGATTAATATCTTGATGAAAATCATCTTTCTGTTGCACTTGCGAAGTCGGATGAGTCGATGATGACGAGATTGAGGTCTGATCATTTGATTTGATTTTCTTTTCTTCAGGATTGTTAATTTCCATTGATGTGTTTGCCGAAGTGGACTGGAGTTTACGTTTCTTTGGCTTGTGTCTACAGCCTACTTTACAGCATTCATGAGCACATCTATGATAATTATTTGTTTTAGTCGATGATAATCTAATCTTTCCGGACAGAAAATTGTAAAAACTTACTTTTCTTTGTCCCTGCATAAATGACTGCACTTGAATCGACCATTAGGCAACAAGTCAGAATCATTATAGTCATTGTTATTATTAGTATTATTGTTATTATCGTCTAATTCTACTATTTCTATGACTTCTATATCCTGCGAATCGCCGCCAATCTGATCTTGATTATGACTATATTCGAGGTTCATATCGTGTTGATGTTCTTGTGACACTATAAACCATTTTATTTAATAATTCTTTTAGCATAACGATCAACGACTAAAAATAAACTTACTTAATACTTCGTTATTTCCCACATTGTTATTATTGAAAAAATTATTCGATTCGTTCAATATCGCCTTCAATTTTATATATCAAAAAAAAAGTATTAATAGAGGCATGTTATCAATCAATAAATTTTCATTAATTTACCTGATTCGGAGACGGCCAAACTGATCCTTGATTGAGAAACGCAGGAATCGTACTAGTAAAGTTCGATATGGTGGAATCCATCTCAGGAGCAACACTTTGAGACACATCCAATCCGACTGTAAAAAACAAAGAATAGTTACATGAGTATTGTTGAATTAAAAAAAAAAGCAACAATATAACGTTAAAAAAATCAGACCATAATCTTCCAACATTACTGAACAATGTATTAGTTGATTAGGCCTAGTAAGCTTCACTTTAAACCTAAATTTATATCCCTGCTGTGCCTTGAATATTCTACAACAGTAAAACACATTATTTTAAATCATCAGTTGATAAACTACGATATCAATTCAATAGAAAACTGAGTTCCTACGGAAATCGGCGATAGTCCAAAAACATATTATCAGATGTTGCCGCCAAGAACGTGGCAAACAAACTCATTCCATTATCATTGGTCTTGATTTTTTGATTAGTGAGATTGATATCAATAAATAACTCAATCTCCGTTGGTTGATTGTATTCTGAATACTTTATTTTCAAAAGATGGAATATTTATAGTTAATGTATAAATCATCCAAAGAAATCAAAACTGGCTGTTTTTTTTTTAGAACAATTAATCAAAAAAAACAATCACCTTGGAAATGTCTAGTTTAAACCTTGGTATGCTAGCCAATGCATCGTGAATCTATATACGTTAAGAAATTGTGAATGTTGTGAATGTAACAAAGCAGAAAATACCATACAATAAAATGTTAAATTGAAATACTCACTTGGTTCCCAAAAGGAGGATTACGGCCAATTATCTGTTTTATTTATTAGAAATATTGGATGTAGTGAAATCAATTAATCTCAATTTATTTTTAATTCTCACAACCTACCATTTCAATCCGTCTTGGATCACAATTCTCTAATTGAAGGAATGTTTGTATTCCAGCATTCGCAAAATGACGTGCATATTGCTGTCCTAATTTTTGTTATTGCAAAAAACCAAATCAACAAATTGATGATTTAAAATAAAATCAAGAAAAACAAAACTATTACCAATTCCATCTATCTGACGTAAAATAAACGGAGAGTTTTCCCAAGTCCTTGCTCTCAAGCAGCGAGCTCTTTTTAACGTGAAAAAAATTGAAATTATTTATTTATGATAGTTAATATATTAATATGAATTTGCAGAGAAAAACTCACAAATTTATTGCGTTGCGTAGAGCAATCACATCTTTTTTTTGAACCATGCATTCGACGATGCCTATCGTATTATAGGAAAAAAACGCGTTCGAATTTATTTCAAGGATATAATATGAATAGTAATATAGAACTAAAGCAAATGAAAATCCACTTACAGTTCATTATGCGAGGACAGTGCTGAAGGATTATATTCGCATCAATATTCATTTGAAAGCCCATTTTAGGATCCGAGAAAGCAATATGGCCCAATATGCACTTTAAGAAAAAGTCAATTCAATATCAATTTTTTAATCCTTCCGCATCTCAATTAAAAAATGAAAAAATTACCTGAATCATGACATAGACTTTATGATCCACTCGAGTAACTTTTCCTTTGATAGGGTATCTGATCTGCGGATGCTTATTAAGGTTGTTCAACACCTAATAAATGCCAATAAAATTAGGTTTAGTAAATTTTCTATAGAATATAAATATACACAGAAGAATAGCGTACCTGTTTTTCACCTTGATGACAACGAAGATCAGAGAATTCTGCTGCTTTAGAAAGCATCTCGAGCTTTTTAAACGATTCAAAAAAAAAATTACTATGATTCAAAGATGATCCAACATCCAATGAATAAATTATGATATATATAGCTTACAAGGTTAGAAAGCGATGACATCCGTGGAAGATTGACGATCTCTTCCATGGTTCTGTATTTCATATAATACTTGGCCATTGCCTCTCCGTACTCTAAGAAATAATTGATAAATTAATACATGTATTAAAAGACAAAATCTGAATGAACCAAAAAGAAAAAACCAACCAGTTATGTTCAAATTGTCATCAGTGCGAACGATCATACCCGAATCATGCAAAATATCCAAATCTTTAGCACAAATATCTATAAAATTGGGTAAAAAAATTAATGCTATTAAAAATAATTATCTATTAAAGAAAAAGAAAACAAATACTTTTGAATTAACTTTACCTTCGAGTTGTTTTTCGAAATTTTGATGATCTTGCTGTTGCTCAACCCCTCCCTCATCCGTACTCATCTTATAATAAGTAGGATTTGATTTTATTCGCACATATAAAAACGTCGACCTGAGCCTATAGAAAAAAATAATAATGTAATTCAATTTTTGATGTCGATGTATTAGATAGAAATTCTAACAAAAATAAAGATTTACCATGCCATAGCTGCATCGATGTGATGGATAGTACCCAAAGAAATCTCCGCATTCAGATGTTCGGTCAAATTCTCGTGTAAACTTAAAAATATGATATAACATTATATATAAAGAGCCAATAAAACTCGGTGAAGACTAATGGCATACCTGCTTTCCAACAGCTCAGTCCCTGAAACTAAATTTTCATATTTATCTCTCATTTCGTTGCTGGTCATTATTACGGCTATTTGGACAAAATAAATCATTATTAATTTGTGAAATCTGTTAATTGAAGACAAAAACTTAGTATTTATTACCTACCTACACCACTATCATCAAATTGCGGTCGCCCCTAATTAATTAGTTAAAAATTAAAGGGATCAATTTCGAATATTCTAATATACAACAAATTATTAAAGAGCACACAAAAAAAACTAATAATTACAGCACGACCCAACATTTGAAGTATTTCCAGGTCGGAATACTCAACATATTGTTGATTATTCCACGTAAGGGTCGATTTGATAATAACAAGATGCGCAGGTAAATTAACCTTGTTTTTAAAGGACATCGTCATAAGTATATGAAAACAAAAAGACTAAATAAACAAATGATAGTAGATGAGTAGCTTACCCCAACTGCTAGTGTAGAGGTTGTACCTATAAATTATTATAATTAGTTATTTCATAATGTAGATTCAATAAATCTTTATGAATTGAACGAAGATCAACTCACAAACAACTTGTATTGCACCAGAAATAAACAAGCTTTCGATGAGCTTTCGGTCTTCAGTATCAAGTCCCGCATGATGATAAGCAACACCATGTCTGCATATGTCTAAAAACATTTTAAATAAAAAATCCATTGAGAAAATTGATTCCAATTTTAATAACAAAAACCAAAAACTTACCTTGGAGTTTTTTATCTTTGTTAGTGATAATTCTATTAAAACGCAATTAAAAAATATATTTCCATATAATTCATCCTGCAAAAAAAAACAAGAGGAATTAGTTACCTCGAGTGCGGCTTTATCGCGAGTCTATGCCCAGACTCCTGAATTTGCTTTATAAGAGCGTTACAAGCAGCTTCTGTCGATTTCCTGGTGGCGCAAAACTAAAAATTCAATCCAAAATTATATGCGAAGAAAAAAAAAGATAAGGACCAAAATAAAAGCCTATAGTAAAATATACTTACAATCAGTGTAGACTTATTGTTCGAGTAGTTTTGTATTAGGTCGAGAAGCCTATAAATTCGATAATTAATGTTGTTTCTTTTTTTTTCTCAAAGGGTATTTTACCGATGTAATAATACATTACTTGTAGTCCAATTTTTTATCAAACAGATAAGCATTGCGATTTTCCATCGGGAAAGGAAGAACATGACGGACCAAGCGCACCGGACGGTACTCCTCCCCAAAATGCAATACTTTGGCTTTTAATATGGAAAAAAACAAAATTAATATGAATTTAATTATAAATCAAAGAAAGAAAAGAGGGCTAACCACTTCGACCAGTATTAGAACCAATCCATGATGCCACATCATCGACATTAGGTACTGTTGCAGATAACGCAACGAATCGAATATCGTTTCCCATCGTTTTCATTCTACTAACCTATATTCAAATAAAAAAATGCAAGACCAATTATTAAACAAATAAAAGAATCAATCTTCTTAAAGTAATTCTACATTCACTTACGACTGCCTCCAAAGTAGCACCTCGCTTTTCCTTTAACATATGCACCTCATCTATCTGAAAATTGTAATCTGATTAATATTGACGAATTCTCGACTATACATCGAGTTAATCACTATAAATTCATACCATAAATAGTTTCAACAATTCGAGTAGATGTCCGTGATCTTTCCTAAAAGATTCAGAAATATGTCATTCATTCATATCTGTTTGAATCCACATGCATTAAACAAATAACAATTTTTTACCAACGACGCGTCATTGAATCCCATTTTTCCGGTGTAGTGACACTTAAAAATGAAATTTGTAATTTAGTTCATTAATTTTATTACCACATGAATACAATTATCTACACATACATGATATCACATCTTTTTATGTCATTGACATGCGCCTGATTTGTGTCTCCCGTCAATTCACCGCCTTAAAAAAAGAGAATTTAATTTATATCCAAAAAGTAAACGAACAAATAAAAAATATTTCAAATTCGAATGCTTACACGACACCCCAATAGCTTTGAACTTTCGTTGCCAGTCACGAGAACGCTCAGAACACAACGCCTAAAATAATTCATGATTAATATTAAAGGATATGATCTTAAGTTGTGCTCTCTTAATAATATTTACCTTTGTCGGAGCCATATAAACCATCTTTGCACCAGTATTCTGCATTAATAAATTGATCATTGCAAGTTCGAAAATGACGGTTTTGCCTGCTCCAGTTGGAGCTATCCAAGAAAAAAAATCACGTTAAGAAATAATTCCCATTCCCAAAATCCCCATAAAAATGCGATCCTCTTCATTACCACTAACGACAAAATTTTCATTCGAGTACAATGCCTACATATATTATTATACCAAGATTAATAATTTTAACGAAAAGAATGATTCTATAGCTCATACCGTATCAATACATTGCGTTTGGACAGCATTGAAAAGATTGAAAGAAAATAGAGGTCTAAATCGATCAACTTATAGATTATAATAAGGTTAATAATAATAATGGGCTTTGTGAACAAAAATTAGTTATTGCGAAGATTTTGCATGAAAAGGATACGGAGCTCGGACACTGGCCTAAGCGTTACATTAGGTATTTGATTATTCGAATTCCCTAAATAGATAAAGCAAATTGTTAAATTATATGATTTCTTCACATAAAAAAATAAAATATTGATTCAAATTTCTTGCCTGAACTCAGCGAATAATTATAATTAGGGGCTTTCGCTAGCTCTTGGGGGTTCGACGACGATGTAGAAAACTATCGAGAATACATAAAATTAATAGTTTGGTTATTTTCGTGAAATATAATTAATCGCACAATATTTGCGCTTACCGCTTGATCGAATCTGTTATTTCTCGTATACGTCTGATCTATCGGCGCGTCGAAAGAAAAAATGTTATTATCGCCATTTTTGTTGTTGTTATCGCTGTTTTTATTACTAACTCGCGAAAAATCTCGACGTGAATTAAATAATGAATGCTCAGGCGATGACTGACTATAATTACTATATTTACTGATATTATTATTGTTATTATTATTATTATTATTATTATTATTATTATTATTATTATTATTATTATTGTAGTTATCATTATTATTATATGCTGTAGGCTTATTGATACTATTATTAGTATATTTGTTATTATTATTATTATATGCTGTAGATTTATTATTATTACTGATCTTGGGGGATATGGGATGAACCAATCGTCTTTTGACGATATGGTTAGCACGAACAGGAGGAACAGGGTGAAAATTGAATTTCGAAAAGGCGACTAATAAAATAAATGTGATTTTATTAAAATCAAGCAAATAATACGATAAATCAGCACCTAAATAACTCACCTGCGCTTTCGCGTTTACGAATCTCAGCGTCGCTTAGACCCTGGTTACTAAAATCATGTCGTGCATTAAGAATTTCGGGCGGTAATAATGAGATACTGCTCGCCATTAATGGGGGTTGACGACGTGTAGTAGTTGTTGTTCCTGTGATAGCGGAAGAGGCATGAGAGGACTCTTGTTCGCTTACAAATATTGGATTTAGGAGATCGGATACGTCTTTGCTCATTCTGTAATTATTAAGGAAGAATAGGTGGTTCGTATATTTAGGAAAAGATACGCGCAATAAATTTGTTTATGTATATTAATCAACAGACAATGGGTCATTGTATTTTCTACTCGTAAAATTCATTAACGCGTGCCATAATTTACGTGTCTTCATAATGGAATGAGTTCCGCGGAGAATATATAGGTTATGCAAGATTACGTGTAGAAATTTAAGAATTTAACAATTTATTAACCGTAACACGTTTAACTCTTTTTCTTATTCATTAATTTACCCTTAATATCCTGCCAATTACTTCGTTGATTCACTAAACAATCACTATACAAGCTGCTGTTGTTTCTATTTTGTCGCGAAGAAGGCGGGAAATAACTACCCAAACCCGGCAAAAATATAATCATTGATCCTGAATCACAATATATACAATTGTTTTCGACTTGTCGATACCCACCATTACCACCACTACTACCGCGAGGTTTTATCAATGGATTTTTACATGCTTGACATAGAACAATACTACCAAGATTATCAGAAGGGATCAATGGTGGTGGTGATTCTATTATGCGGATTACTTGATTTTTATTGATACATGATGTACAATTGTTCTCTAACTGTTGATATGTTCCTGATTTTCGTGGATTTTTTAGTGGATTTTTACATCCGTGACATATTATTGTTTCGAACTCGTTATCGATTATTGTTGGCGCGGGACGGTTGTGGTGAGGTGGTGGTGATGGTATTGTTGGTGCGAGACGATTGCGGTGAGGTAATGGTGATGAAAGTGAAGATGATGATAACGGTAAAAATGTCGATACTTCTGGGTGTGCGCAAAAATGTTTTGTTGTGTTCTCGGGAAAATAATGATCACACAATGAACAATAGAATGGATACAGACTATGTATTGGTTTTAACTTGTGGGATATTGGATCTAATTCTTTATGAACACATAATGTACAATTGTTTTCCAGTTGTTGATATGTTCCTGATTTTCGTGGATTTTTTAGCGGCTTTTTACACCCCTGACATACTATTATTGTTCGTGATGGTGGTGAGAGCGAAAATGATGATGTTGGACGTGCGCAAAGATGTTTTGTTGTGTTTTCGGGGAAATAATGTTCACAAGATGAACAATAGAATGGATATAGAAATTGTATTGGTTTTAACTTGTGAGATATTGGATCTAATGACTAAATACAATCATATTAACAAAAATGAAGAATAAGTTTGAAAATCAATATATTTATCAAAATGCATAAAAAACTCACCACCGCTTTGGAATGAACCTCCAAAAAATTACACCGTGACAATCCGGTATTTACACATGGCGAAGGCGTAACTTCATGCATCTGCCAATGCCAATCTCTATAAAATAAGTCTTCGGGACGTATCAAAAAATACTGCGTTTTCACCAAACAATTCACTTTCCAGTACGGACAACTGCGTGTCACATGTTCAGATAACGCATTTAAACTCCCAAATGTAGGGCATTCGTAGCTTAGTGTGTGCATTATCGAGAATGGTAATTCTCCTGCGGAAAGTATGGAGTCAAGGTTACCGTTTATACTATAAAAGGAACAAAAAAGAGATTTGTTTATTGAATTGTCTTGAATTCGATTTTTTAATTCGTTTACTTACTTCTCTAATATACGTATTTTTGCTAATTCCTTTAACGAAATCGGGCAATTGGAATCGACAACTGTCAACGAACACTCATAGTATTCTTGTTGTTCACTCTGGAAATTCAAAAATGCGAGATAGGCCGGACATATGAGTCTCCTTTCAGAACAAACTACCTGATGGTCCTTTAAATGAATATATTAAGTTTTCGAGATTAATATATAATCTTGAGAAGAAAAATAATAGCGAGTTTTAATTAAACGCTTACTTCCCAATCCTCCTGTAGAACAAGTTGCCGACAACTGCAAGTTTTCGCATCATATTGTTCGTTTGTGGGAAATGAGTTTATATAATTTAGTCCTTTCGAGTTCATTTTCAAATAGTGAATGAAATTCGACGCGGTGTATAAGAAAAAGAATTTTGTGCAACTTTTGCTATACGTGTATAACGATGATAGTTTGTGCGCCACAAATTTTAATTTAAATATTGTATTTCCTAAATAAGGATTTTGTTCAACAAAAAGATATAACATATACAATGAAATTCTTTGCCCTAAAAACTAAAATTGTTCTTTCAGGGCTCATCTTTAGGAACAATCATCTCGCGATATTGCTTTATACTATCGCCTTCAAACTTGCGAACGTGACCTTGTTCGCACACCCAAATGTCGGTGCATACTGAATCAATAAATCGTTCATCATGAGATACGAGGATGACGCCACCCTTGAATTCTTTTAGTGCATTAGTGAGAGCGTCAATAGAGTCCATGTCAAGATGATTCGTCGGCTAAAGTATCAATAAAGAAAAAGATTTAAGTGTCTTAGACATCACACAAAATATCTTGAAGATAAAATTACCTCATCTAAGATCAATATATGTGGATTCTGTAACCCTAGACAAGCAAAGGTGACTCTACTTTTCTGACCTCCTGATAAGGTTTCCAAAGACTGTAAACCTGTCATGCCAGTTATACCGAAGTTTCCAAGTTGCCGCCGATACTCTTCCTCATTTCTACCTGGCCAATTTTTTAACATAAAAGTGACCGCATTAGCATCAAGATCTAATTGATCCACATGGTGCTGCATAAATAGGGCAAATCTTAAACGTCCATGACGATGCACTAAGCCACCGCGAGGTTCCAAATTGCCGGTGAGTAGTTTTAGCAAGGTAGATTTACCAGCTCCATTTGGACCTATAAACAAATTCATCAATTAGCTCATCTTTTTATAAATAATATACTTATGTAAATCCCTTACCGACAACAGCGATCCGAGAATCTAATTGCACTGATAAATTAACTTTAGATAATATAGTTTCACTAGGTTTATATCCAAAACTAACGTCATTCATTTGAAGGATGGGAGGACTAAGCGGATCTGGATTCGGGAATCTAAGATTGTATAAGATATGGCAAATTATTCCATAAAAAAATTTACCACAAATAAAAGAGTAACATATTGAACAGGTTACTTGAAGGTCACGCTATTTTCGATTTCTGGAGGCTCTAATTGCGGTAACTTTTCTAATATCTTAATTTTGCTTTGAGCCTGCGGTCCTCTCTTGGCATTATATCGCCAGCGATCGATAAAATCCTGCAAATGCTGACGATATTGCATCTGGCTTTCATATTCACGCTGCTGATTTTTCCGACGTTCTTCTTTCGTCGCCCAGAATTGCGTAAAGTTGCCTTTATAATAATCAAGACGTTCAGAATGCTGATGTAGAATATCGGTAGCCACTTCATCGAGAAATTCTGTGAATATTTATCCCATTAATACTTTGTGCATCGCACCGTAACCAGAATCAAATATAATTTTCTTACCCCTGTCGTGAGATACGACCAAAAGGGTGCTCGGCCATTTCTTGAGGTATTGTTCTAACCAAGCAACAGCAGGAATCTTTGATAAAGCGAAATGAACTTTGAAGTATTACATTACAGACGCGTTTAATCAATCAATTACTAAATTCTCACATCCAACATGTTTGTCGGTTCATCTAACAATAATAAGTCCGGCCGACAAAATAAAGCTCGCGCTAATGCGAGGCGCATTCGCCAACCACCTGAGAAAGTTCTTGTAGGATAATTATGCTTTTCTGATGGAAAACCTAGACCTGATAGAATTGCCGCTGCTCTATTTATAATTTGAAAAATAATCATCGATATGTATATATTTGAAAAAAACTAAAGTAAATGATAATCTTTATTACCGTGATTCTGCTTTGTCACTTTCAATTTCCTCTAATTTTTGATAAACTTCTCTTAGACGTCTACTTGCTTCTTCTTTTTCTTCATCTAAACCTTCTGCATTAATTCCCTCAACCGGTTGTTTTTCCAGAGAGTTTATAGTTTCATTCAATGTTCTTTCTTCTTGTAATAAATGCTCTCGCCAAATATCAGCACTTAATACCGCTTGAATTGCTAATGTATCATCACCCACCATCTGAAACCAATTAATTTTTATGTATTAGAAATACATCGTTTAAACTCATAAAACAACAACAAAATCTGTTACTTGCTTCTTGCTCGACATGTAATATACTAATATGTGTCGGTACGCTGATTTCGCGTCTAGAAAGTGTCCTCAAAAGCGTTGATTTCCCGATACCGTTTCTACCAACCAATCCATATCTTCTGCCATAGACCAGCGTCAGATTTGAATTTGTTAAAATTCGTTTTCCAGCAAACGAGATGTCAAAGTTTTCGATTTTAACGTCCTTGATTTTTCCCTTTGTTGAAGTATAATCTAGAATCGGGTTGACTTGTATATAAAATTCCGCGTCGTTTTTCTTGTTTATTAATTTACTAGCTTCATAATTTGACCTTCGTTCACGCTTTTCTAACTTGGCTTTAATTTTAGCTTCGGCTTTTTCAAGCCTTTTTGTATCCACCCTCGTTTCGATTTTTCGACCGCTAACAGCTTCCAGATCTATGGACTGATTAACTAAGCGTGAAGTGGCCGAGACCGAATCTCTCGAAAGCATGTTAATTGGTTGCGCAAGCTTGTTTAGACCTTGCGGGGTTTTAGTACTCGTTTGGTGAGCATTGGCAAATAACTCTGTTAACTGTTCACATAGTGTTTCAATGTTGTTAGAATCACCAGCAGCATCAACAAGAAGTGGGCGAACAAAGTCGGTAATTGCATCTTCATCGTCACCTATAGAAGGAATCTCATCCAAGTAGCCGACAACATACTCTACGATTGCATCGTCAATATCTGGAATTGAGCTTCGTATTAATTGGTTAACTTTTTCAAGTTCGGTCTCGGCAACCATTTTCAAAAATATACGAAAATCGATCAACATGCACAAAGTTTTATGTACGCACCACGTGACGATATTCATAATCACCTACAAATAATGGTCTGACAAGTATGCTGGAAAAAAATTTAAATTGAAGTGTCGCTTTTGTGATTAAAAACCGTCTTGTAACAAAAAAAACCTATAATTTAGAAAATGTCATGGGTTCTAGCCACATCATATATTGTCGGAATGTTGATGGTGATGAGTACCTTTTCATACTTCTGGCGAAGGCGAAAAAATGGTAGTCTTAAGAATTAATTCATTTTATGTTTCTTAATAGATAGTGTATAATCAGCTTTGAATAGACTTTTTGAGGCTCACAACATTTTTAGATTACTTTATGAGATAGAATATTTAATCATGGAATATTTAATGGATAATTGCATCAATTTAGATAAAAATATTCAATCATCATTTTTTAAATGTGTTGGTTGCTCAATTGAATAATAATAATCATAATTAATAATTTTAGCGGGATCTCACCACGAGCCATGGTTCACTGAACACAAGGAAAGAGATATCTATATTACCCTATTACAACAAGATCCACCAGTTGATGAGATCTTACTCAAAAGTGCGTTATTACGTCGCGCCGTAACGGACATACAGCGAATATCGAAACTGCGCGACGACAAACAAGCACTCGCCAACCTAGTACAAAAAGGAGCAGTTGGCGATGATCTATGGACAGCTTTCTTAGAAGCAGAAAACGAACTTGGACAAGAGATCAATGCTGTAATTTTAGAGGCGAACACCTTCACCGATGAGTGGGGTCGATACATATTTACGAACGCTGGTGAAATGGTACGACATCAAAAACTTAAAGATATAAAAAACGATATGAAAGAGTTAAAAGAGCGGGAAGAGAAAGCTGCAAAACGGAGAGAAGAGCGCGAAAAAATAGAGACGGAGGAAAATGAGCGAAAAGAGAAAGCTAGACTAGAAAAAGAAAGGAAAAAGGCACAGGAGGAATTATTAAAAGATGAAGAAGCTCAGAAAAAGAAAAAAGCCGTTAGAAAAAGATAGTGGCAACAGTACTAGTAGTAAGAAGGGAAAAAAGAAATGAAACGAGAGAACAATAATAGAAAAGAATTATTTATTCTTTTTTTAATTTTGCACAATTATTAATTAATCAGACCTAAAACAGATGTTCAAACATTTATATAAGAATTTTTACACTTATACTTACCTTTAGTCCACTTCACCTTATATTTCTTTGGTAAACTTGGATAATATGTGACCTGTGAAATTCCTTTCGAAATTGTATTATTTCGATGTAAAATAACAAAAACATGTCATAACTGAATTTAGACAAATCCACAGTGCGCTCGAACAGTCATAATCAATAGAATTAATGTTGTTTCTGATCGAATTCGCGCCGAAAAATACTTCAAAAGCAACAGCAAAGGATGCACAATATTTTTCTTGTAGGTATTCATTCGTATCTCGAATCATGAAAATAATGAATTAGACTATTTGCTTGTGCGTTATTTTATGTATTGAAATGCAGTTAAACACTAAAATGTTATAATGTGCTCAAAGGACGAAATTTTGAGCATTATCACGAATGTAGTTTCGTAAATAAGCAACCACGAAATAGTTACGAGGAATCTGATCATTTTCCTCTCAATGTTACCAAATATGTCGCTCACGATTTGATTATTTTGACAGTTTATTATTGTGCATTATTATGCATGTGTGAAAAATTAACTTAAAATATTATGTACAAAAATTTGAAAGTAAAAATGCAGGGGAAAAATATAAAATTACAAAAGAAAAGAAAAAGAATGCTGCATGATTATTGTTATTTATTATGTATGCTAAAAAGAGTTTATCAATTCCACAGATTTACACTTGAAATTATTATTATCGTTATTATATCACTGTTACTAGTCTAAATAATGTTCTTATCATTATTTGGTATAATGATAAATTAATGTTCATATTAAAGATTATTCTGAAAAAAGGGAAAAAATCTAAACTCCACGCACAGAGAGAGAGAGAGAGAGAGAGAGAGAGAGAGAGAGAGAGAATTATGCGAAAGGTATAACAAATAAAAAAATAAAATTGCGCAGAGCAGGAAATATCATCAATTGATAATGGGTAGTGGTTTACCTTTTATGAATTTAACATATAAATAGACTATCGAAGATAATATAAAGTATAACGTGTTTGATTATAGCCCTAACAACATGATCCATCATCGTAATCTTTTGGAGGTTGTGAAACAATAACCTTATTCCGAGGTTCTTGCTTAATCCATAAACTTGGTGTCCGAATTATCTATTATTATTATTATTTCCAATTCCGGTGAATATAATAAATAGTAATATTAATATCAGATAAATATAAAAAACTAAATCAAACATATTTTATAACAAATAAACGAGTAATAAATAAACCTTAAGAACAAGTTCTTCAAATGCCTCTTCCACACCCTCTCTTGTCTTGGCGCTACACTCAATAAACAATGTATTAGACTTCTGTGCGAATGCTAAACCTTCTTTACGAGATATGGCGCGTGATGTTTCCTAAATTTCCAAAAGCGAACGAAAATGATCTATAAAAAAGTGTAACCCTTATATAAAGAAACATTGAAAGAGAAATCGGAAGTCCGGCTTTTGGATAAAGAGGAAGAGAAAAAATAGGGATTACATTACCGTTACCTTGTCGAGCTTATTCCCAACAAGTATTTTTATAACATCTTTGTTTGTGCAGTAAGTGCTTAATTCGGTGAACCAGTTTTCTAGTTCGTCGAATGTTTCTCGATTGCTCACATCGTAAACTATCGGTATTTATTATTGTTGTTATTGAAAGATTTACGCGTTATTTTGAATTAATGTGCAAGCAACCTACCAAGAATTACTCCTTGTGCTCCACGATAATATGAAGATGTGAGAGTTCTGAAACGTTCTTGACCTGCAGTATCCTATATGTTACATCGGTTATATATCATATAAATAAAATTGACCTGTTCTTCTAATGAACGAATACATTTACATACCCAAATGGTGAGCTTATATTTTTTACCTTCCACTTCGATTATTTTAACTTTAAAATCAACACCTGAAATGTGCGCATTACGTAAATTAAAAACTTTAGAATTTCTGCATAAGTTTGACAAGGGATTATGAAACAATTCCGCTATCTGATCTATATTAACCAAGTTTACAGAGTGACCTCTCCCTCCCCTTCACACCCCCAAAAGTAAAATGTCGTTGCGTTACTCGTAAATTATCTCACCCTCTTTCTTATAATTTTACTGAGTAACAAAAAAAACAGCATGCAAACAAACCTATCGTGGCCGAGACTTCGTCCTGAGGTAAAAAAGTATCGTCCGTAAATCGTAGTAAGAGAGAAGATTTGCCGACATTCGAGTTACCAATCAGGAGGATTTTGAGAGTTGTAAGAGAATCTTCTGGATTCATAGTTTTTCGGTGCTTTTCTACAAGTTGTATTTAAAATCAACCTTGCATTCAGTATTTATTAATGAATAGACAGAAAATTAATTGGGTAAAATTAAAATGGGCTTTTCCGGGAAAACGTGACAAATTATTTCATCGTGCATAAATATTTCGAGATTTACACGATAGGTTTTGAATATTTTTCATCCTTCTCAATGTTCAAATGTCGTCAGCGAAATTCACACCTTGCAAAGATTCTCATCACAAAACAAACAAAACAACTTGATTCAGCCACAATTGCACGATTTCACACAATGTCATTAATGTCATCACTACCAATTATATTATCACAGAAACTACAAAAGCAACAACAGCAATTCCACCTTCAAAAACGACATAAAACCGAAAAATGGCGTTACAATCCATCACCGGAAAGTAAACCCGGCGATTGGCATTGTGTAAATTGCGGCTCCCGAAATTTCTCGTATCGTGTTTTTTGCGTCGCTTGTGGACTCCCGGCGAGAAATCGAGAAGTTGCTCCGGGTGGTGATTGGTTGTGTCCTAAATGTCAATTCTATAATTATGCTTTTCGGCTTATGTGTCGAAAGTGTGATCTTCCATCGCCGAAATTTAGTAAACCCAGAGATTCGAATGTTAAAGTTGATATTAGACCATTGAAAGAGTTTGACGAAAAAGAATGATAATTTATCGTTATTATCCAAAAATTCACTAGTCGGATCCACATGTAGATGCTGATTTATTTGTTTGTAATCTTCCCACGTGATCGTGAAAATAGCTAAAATATTGATCTAGTTTCGCGTTCGTAACCTTTGCTAACAGTTAAAGATGAAAGAATATAGTCCCTTGAAGGTTTTTTTAAATCAAAATTTGACTTGCTGTGATTTTTATAATTTATCTTCTTCAATAATATTACATTTTTAGGTTAACAAAATATTCGAAGGACATTTTGTTGACGTTCTCGGTTGTTTAACATGGGTAAGTTACTCTATACCTAATGAAACTCGACGGTATTTACTAACGTTAACATAACATATATAATACAGCGAAATAATCTCTTCGCCGTCTCAGAAACCAATAGCAGTTTGTTTTTTATAGCTAGAAAAGATGAAATTTGGGTTTACGATTGTAATAGTATATTTGTGGGGAAAGATAAACCTAAACCAATACGAAAATTAAAAACACCTTGTTCTGAGCCGCCACCATCAGAGGATAGTATCAACGAGGATCCATTTAGGGTAAGAATCATTTCAAAATATTGAGACATCGAGACTCGCATGACAAACTCTGTTTGTATTTATGTTTTTATGATATTAGGGAAGTGAGGTTAATGCGATCAAAGTGGGAAAACTCGGAATTGAGGAGGCTTTAGTGGCTGTGAATGGTCTAGGTGTATTCATATGGTTCACATCTATGCTACACAAGACGCCAATCCATTTTTGGTAGGATACAATCTATTCGTAAAGATTTTCTTTGCGTTATAAATATTATATGAGATTTCATATACAATGACCCTCGATATTTTAGTAATGAAAGCTCAACATGGGGAATAGCTATGCATGGGCCATCTCGCCTTTTGGCTGTTAGTGCTAATTCTCATGGTTCATATATTACAATGCTTTATCTGTTTTCCTCCTAATTTATTTCATCAACTTAGTTATCCCTCTCTTTTTCTTGGTACATAATTATTTTTTGTGTTTCTCTAGTGATTACCATTTATGATCTTCGCGATGGATTACCAGAGTTTGTTGCGACGACCGAAGAAAAAGATATTGATAAAGATATCAATTCTGTTCCGAACAAGAATCCATTACTGTTGGAGCCAAAAATTTGCCTTCGAGGTCATGACCATAATATCCCAAACATTGCTTTCAGCCCGGATGGGAAATTTTTGGTTTCTTGCAGTATAGACAATACCTGTCGCATTTGGAATGTAAAAACAGGCGAATCCTTGGTCTCGAAACAGATTTCTTTAGATTGGTAAAATAGTTGTTTGTAAGCGCGTTGCTCCATATTAAAAATTTAATGTGTTGATATTATTGTCTATTTTAGGGGCTGGTCTACTTGCTTTGTGTCTCCTTCGTCATTCAAGCTTGTATCAGAAGACTCTTTGGCACAGCTTACTTGGATTCCACCCGTTGTATTAGGTCCGTTCACAATGGGGTTTGCAAGGATACGTTACACCCCACAAGAATTAGAAAGAGCACAACAAAATACTCGCGTTGATAATCACGCTGCAACCGAGTATGCAGATGGATTTCTTGAAGATGAGTTTGGTGGAGATGACGATGAGGTGGAGGAGGTTGATTTTCATGATGATCATGATGAGGAGGAAGAAATATATGATGTTGAAGATTATTTACACGAGCGAGAATTAATGGATTTCGACGACAATGGATGGCATAATGATGATGATGAAGCTGAAAATGATTATAATGATTTTCCGCCTTTTACATTTAATACGATGATGATACGACCTAGGCACGCAAATATTGGTGATAATGAAGGCACAGATGAAATTCTAGAACCTCGATCGGATTTTGATAATAATGAAGATACTAGGAGGTCGGCATCTGAAACAGAGCGAAGCACAATATCTCCTCCGACTCCTTTTTTCGGTTATTCTGCTAACGAAGCTACTAGAGTTTGGCCATCCGAATCGGATGAAGACATTCCATTATCTGACGATCGGATGCCTAGTTGGAATTTTGAAGATAGTAACAATACCCTTGCAAGAATTTCATCAGTTGAAGAACCTCGCTGGAATAATAATGAAGGACTAAATTCGCCTTCAATCACAATACAAGCGTTACCGGAAGAGGTTTCAGTAATTCCAGAACAATTACGTGTAGTTAGCTCTCAAGATATTAATGATAATATTAATGCTATCCAAGGCGTAAGAACGTCTTCCCAAGGAGCTACAGATAATGAACTTGCAAATGATCTGCGTATAATACGAGCTCGGTTAGAATCACAATACGCAGAAACACTAGGAGATAATGAGTCTAGTGGTCTGACTGAACAATTGCGTTCGAATTTGAACGAATCGGAGACAGAAGATGCTTTAAGAATGCCAAATCAAACTGATATTGTTGGCTCGAATCTAAATGCATCAAGGCAAATTCAACAAAGAGAAACTCAGCAAGAGTTGTCAGATAATAGTCAAAGGGTTGCTCAAAACCCCATAGAAAATCATGACGACTTCTTGTTCCACTTTACGATCCCTCCGAGGCTTCCGGTTCGAATACTTTCTACGAATTCACAATCTACTAATGAACAATCCATCGTTGGAGAGCAGAGTAACAATTCTAATACTTCAAGAGAAAGCGCAAATGTAAATCAGCAACACCCCGATTCAAATTCACAAGATAAAGGCTTTAGGTTTATGATTGCGATTCCACCTTCGCGATCACTTCCTCAAGATTTAGTTCTTTATGCTTCAGCTGGAGATTTGTATCTTCTTGATCCAAAAGCGCAGCTTGAGCCTTTGTGTAGTGTATCACGGATTGTTCGTCAAAGTGATGTTAGATGGTTACCTCATTTGCAAGGATTCGATCGACTAAATATGATGGAGGTAAGCAAAATATTGCCATATGATTATTATATTTGAGCATATGCTAATAGAACAATTTCTGTTAATATTTCATGTAAAGTGGATACCAGAATTCTCTCTTGTGATCGTTGCTAGTCAAAAAGGAAAAGTAGCTTTAGTGAGATTATTAAAGTAAGTTTCGAACATGGCTACAAAAAAAATAGCAACAGAAAAAACATTTTTATTTATATTTAAGAAATTGATCATATTTCATAGAGTTTCAAACGAAGGAAACGATCGATATGTTCTTCAACCCGAGAAATATTTGCCATTGATGCAAAACATGCCGATGGAGCCATTACTTGGTAAATTGAGAAGCTATGCTAAAAATATATATAGATCGAAACATTATTGACTGTTTCTCGGGTTACTCATTATTCTTCTTAACGATGAAATTAGGGATGTGTGTAAGCAAGCAAATCTCCTCATCATCAGATTCAGCTTTTCACTATTACCGATTATTTTTGCTTTACCTTGATGGAAACTTTTGCTGTTATGAGATCAGTCGAGATATCGAAACTAATCCTTCTTATGGAGCTTGATCTACTATTACTAAAAATACACTAAATGAAGAAATTCTTTGTGTGATGTGAGAATGAATAATAATGTATTTTTTGTACAAATTTTTTAATAATAATTTATAGTAATTTGCTTTACATATCAAAATTAATGTCGAAAAAATCTAATGTTCTTATTTTAATTCTTTTGACTATCTATCTATATTAACATAAGTCTATCACTATTGTTTGGATATTTCTTTGTCCCATAGTTCTTGTTTATTCTTGTTATCATCGTTATCGTAGTGCTACGATAAAGTTTAGGATCGCCAACATCATGGGAATGTGTAATTATCCAAATAAAGAAAAACATAATTTAAGTAACGATAGGCGATCTATCTCGCTTTACTGATGCTGTATTAGATTAGATTCGATTGATTCATCCTTGCTCTTTTTCTTTCTATCATTTTCTTTCTATGAAAAGGTTAAAAACATCGTCTAACTTGAACAAAATACAATAAAAAAAACAAACAAGACCAAAGAAAGTATGAACAAAACGATACACAAAATCAATAAACTGATTTACTGATTCATGCATGCATGTGTATATGATATAAATATGTAACGTTACGTGCAGGTACTCATACCATCAAGCTTTACTATATCGGCATAAAAGATCTTCAAACAATTTGATCGCATTTTTTGTCTCTTCACAATTTTTCTTGTCCGAGATAATTTCATGTAGACAAAAACGCATAAATCTGATAAAATTAAAAATTAATTCAATTAACGATTCGAAAATTAATTTATATTTTGAGTTTTAACCTCGTACATAAAATTAATTTAGTTAGTTATCGTTATATCCTGTTCAGGGAATCAAGGGGAAATAATAAAAAATATAAAATATATCAACGAGCACACCCAGATAAAGCGAAAATATTATAATAACGATAATATCTCGGGATAATCAGCAAGTGGTAATTACAGCATCAAGCAAACAAAACAAGCGAGCGTTGCGAGCGTGTGTATCTATATACACCAACACTGATTGCTTCTTCCTCTCTTACTATTACCAAAACAACTTGGAACACTTTAAAGCAACGCGCATCCCACCTCGCTTTAAAATACTTCTCGTATCTTCTTGGCTGGTCTAGTCTCATGTGCTTGTGTGTTCGTGCTCGCGTGCCGATTTAGAACAAAAGCAACTTTATAAAAGACTTTAATACAGTTACAGCACTGTATCTTCAAAAAAATAAAACAAAAAAATAAATTAATAATAAAAATACTATATATATAATAACATAAAAAATGAGTTCAGCAGAACTTGCGGTAGTAACCACGACGCCTCTTCGTCTGAGTCCTCACCATCAGCATCGACAACGAAAGTCTTCGGTGAGTATCAGCAGGACCGATTTAGTGCTGGAAACACTTCGTGAAGAACATGTTTGTAGTAGTCAGAAAGAAGCACGAGACTATATTGAGAAAACGTTGGATACTCAATTGTCTGGAGACGATTTACACAAGGTACTTCAGGACGGTGTGGTATTGTGCAGGTGAGAGAAGCTTATACACAATTCATTAAAGTACAAAAGAATATAGGTATTACAGTATTGATTGATCACCAAAAATTGAATTTCCCTTCTCGCGTCTTTGTTTATAAATAAATACATTGATTATTTTCTTGTTTATTAATCTCAATAAAGTTTGATGAACAAACTCGAACCAAATACAATACCACAAATTGAACGAAAGGATCATCCATTCGTAAAGGTAAACATTTAAATTCGAGTTTTGATCAGTTTAATGGCTGGATGATGGGAAATATAAAGGATGAAAGTAGTCGAAGGTGTACAAGGATTACCACATCTTTACATTTTTTTTAATTCCTATTATTTATATTGTTATTATTAATGTAACCTCAAAAAGATGGAAAATATTTCGAATTTTTTAAAAGCTGCTCGAAAGGTAAGTTTAGTAATATCATATAAGTAGATTAATTTATATCTGATTATTACTAATTCATTATATTTTGTTGATCAATTAAAAACTTTCGACTGATTATCATGATTACCTTTTTAATCATCAGTTTGGATTGCATAATTCTGATTTATTTGAGACGGTGGATTTATTCGAGGGAAAAGATATGGAAAGGGTGCGTGTACATATACAATGTTTATTTTATTCTAATTATATAATTAATAGTCGCTATTAATTAATCATTTAAAAAAGGTTGTCGCCACAATACTAGCTATTGCACGAATATCGACAGGATCCGGTAAAAATGGCAACAATAATAATTATCGATCATCAGACAAGAATAACGCCAACAACACTATCATCACACCTCCAAGACCTATACCAAAGGCCATTAATATTAATCCTAATAATAGTAGTAGATCTATTGTAGATGATTCAGTATTATCCACGTCTCCTCCCCCATTATCTAAATCGTTCACAACGACTACATCGATGTGGGAAGCAGCAAGAAGATTTCGACGGAACTCTGAAGGATTTCCATTATTTCAAACTCAAAAAACACATGGGCTGGGCTCCCGAAAACAAAAAAGTTTTTCAAATCATCAACAGCTTAATAATATTATTAATAACAATAACAATGTCAATAAGAACGACGAGAACAATTCTACAAATAATACATTCGCCACTGCATCCGCAAGACGACATCAATCACATCAACTAGCACCAATCAACACAACGCAAGAACTGGCATATTCCAAAAACAGAAGAAACAAAGATAACGAGGATGATGATGACTTTGACGATGATGACGACGACGAAGGAATTGTTTTAGATTTCAGAAATTCTCCCCACATCGATAAGAAACCATTACCACCAAAAACTTCTTTGATAACAGCAGCAAAGACAATTGTTACGTCAGAAAATATAAATTCTGATAATAATATAAATCGGGGATCTTCTATTAGTATCAATAGTAATACTCATAGTACAAGTAGTAACAATAATCGTAATGGTGTATCAGGAGAAGGAAACATAACAAAAGCAGAAACATCGGAAAAACAAAAAGTCGACTCGGACAATTTTAATGAATCAAATAAGTTAAAGTATGAAATGCTAATACCAAAAAAACGACCAAGCTTACGTAAATCCATGACAATGAATCAATTATTCAGTAAAACAATTGAGCAACAAATGCAGCAGGAGCAAGAAGAATCAGAATTTTCCGAAAATCCTTCTCCATTATTACCTTTATCACAACCCGCAACACCAATCGCGGAAAGCCATACAACTGATAATAGTTATAGAGCTCTCAAACTTAAAAGATCGATTTCCCGCACCAAAACTCATATTCGTTACAAAAGTGATCGAAGCGCGGAAATATTAACAAGTCAACGTACTAATGAGGTTGATGGTGATAATAATAATAATAATAATAATAATAATAATAATAATAATAGTAATAATAATAATGATGGTGGTGGTGGTATCATGGGTGATCGAATATCAGTCTATTCGGATCCAAGAAAACGTGAAAGCATACAAATTGGAGAAGGAGTGGGAGGAAATGCAATGAAATTTATTATTGGCAGTGAATCATCAATAAAGAAAACAGAAAAGTTAATATTACGTGGAGGTAAAGATGGGGTGGACATACAATATCAATTGGGAAATTGTATAGGAAAAGGACAATTCGGATCAGTTTATCGAGCGTTGAATTTGAGTGATGGACAAATGGTTGCAGTAAAACGAATAAAACTAGAGGGTAAAAAACAGGAAGAAATTGATCAATTAATGCGAGAAGTAGAACTTTTACAATCATTATCACATCCCAGTGTAGTTAAATACACGGACCAGATAATGTGCGACGATCACATTAATATTATCTTAGAATTTGCAGAGAACGGATCTTTATTGCACACATTGAAATCATTTGGAAATTTCCCGGAGAAATTAGTTGTCTCATATGTAGTGAAAATATTGGAAGGACTCGTCTATCTCCATTTCAAACAGGTGGTTCATTGCGATCTTAAAGCGGCAAATATCCTAACCACTAAAAGTGGTAATGTCAAATTATCAGATTTCGGCGTATCGCTAAACTTGAAAATGATGGAAAACGTAAGTAATAACGACGTGACTGGAACTCCAAATTGGATGGCACCAGAAGTTATCGAATTAAAAGGCGCCTCGACGTCATCAGATATATGGTCATTGGGATGCACGATAATAGAATTATTGACTGGGAAACCACCATACGCTGATCTCCTCCCTATGACAGCGTTATTTCATATTGTGGAGGATGATTGTCCGCCACTGCCAGAGAATATTTCTGATGATTTGAGAGACTTTCTGATGCTGTGTTTTAGAAAAGAACCTGCGAAGCGCCCATCGGCTCGAGATTTATTTCAACATCGTTGGATTAAGAAGAATTGGACATCGAAAGAATTACGGACGCAAGAGAGTTTACCGTTTTTAAGACGTATTACGTCAGAAAATGATATTGCTGATAATCCAAACCTGCTGAATGTTGTCGCTGACAATAACAATAACAATAACAATAATAGTAACAATAATACCGGTCTTAGTAATCAAACTAATGATAATACTCCAACAACATTTGAACCTCCACCACCATCACCATTACCAATGCTCGATAGTGATTATCATCTGATTATTAACAATAATTATCAGTTACAACAATCTCAATCACATACACAATCAATCGTGGGTAGTCCTACAAAAAGCAGTGGCATGCCATCGCCGATTGTTGGGAGTCCTCCTGTTATTATGGTGAGACCTATTATACCACATCGGTTTGTGAAGATTTCTTTTAGTAAAGGTATGGTGTCGAATTTTATTCTATAGTTTTTTTTTGTTTGTAATGATTAATTAATATTTGTGTTGTATTTAGCTGTGGAATGTCGTATATGTCATAGTACTGTAAAGAAACATGCACACTTTTGTGAAGGTATTTTTTTTTAAATATACGCAAAATAGAATTTTTATTTTATGTATTTTTTGCTAATTCATATATTATATAGAATGTAACATGGTGTGTCATCAGAAATGTTCACCAGAAGCTACATCACCATGTGAATTTAGTAATCGAAAATTTATGCTTAGTCAAGTTGGTTTGGTATGTTTTGATAACGCAGTTTTATTTGTTTTTCTTTTTGCATTATTCATCATATATGATTAAATGAATTAATCAAAAATAAATAAATAAACCTTCTCAGTTTGACGATAATGTACCAAATTCACCACCTCCACTACATCCATCACCCCCGACTACTAATCGACTCACAAGTAAAAAACAACCAAAAAAAGACGATTCGGTGACATCGCAGAGTTCTGTGGCTGATAGTCTTGATTCTTCGTCAAACTCTCGACCTGGATCACCGATGATGTCTGATAATAATAACAATAATAATAGTAATAACGGTAATGCCACTAATAGTAATAGTAATAGCTGGTACGGGAGTAGCTTTAATGGACGTCCGTTTTCTTCGGTGTCTTCTGTGGCTGCTGATGAAAATAATAATACGAGCACCACAAATAGTAATGCTTCCGTTTCATCATCTACAACAAATGCTTCTACAAGTAATAACAATGGTAATAATGGAGGAAAAGGAAGCGGAAAGAGTCGAGCGAGTAGATTGATCAAGAAAAAAGGAGCCAATGGAAAGGATGATGATTGTGTTATTATGTAATTAATTGTTTTATTTGTTGATTTTCTAATGAAAAAAGTAATTTTAGGATTACTTTTTATCTGTTTTATGTTTCCTTTATTTATTTGTTTTGTGGAAAAAAATTTTGAGCTTTTTGTTAGTCAGTTATTTATTCTCCCAACCCTTTATATATTCTTGATAGCATACATGTTAAAATTTCTGTTTATAGTAAATGATTTTGCTTTTTGATAATGAACTAAAATTTGTTGTTTTATAAAAAGAGTCTGCACAAAATTTCAAAATACCACGATTTTAGTACCATAGTAATTTCTTTGAAAAAAAATAACTATTCGATTTCCTGTTACACTATTGCGGTATCAATCGAGACACAAAATTTTTCATCAAATAAAAATCAACCATACCGATACATTCAGTAGAAATTCTTTATACGGTGGCTTTTTTTTTGAACGGCAAAAAAAATTTGATATTTTATTAGTCATGTTATTTTGCATTATATAATAATGCAAATAATGCCACTAATAACGGCAAATTTTCATAAAATTCAAAATTTATAACTCATGCCACAAGTAAAAATTTAAAAATCCAACTGCTGCAAATATTAGCCTGGCTTCTGATTAATCATTTGCAGCAGAGTTTTTCTTAGCCAGAGTTATAACAATTTTTAATCACATACCAAAAAGTTGATGGCTTATGGTGTCCCCCATTATAATACACAAAAGATAATATCCGTGGCGTTTGTAATTTTTACAATCCGCGGATTCCACAATTACGATTTGATTAAATTCTTTTATATAGATAGCTCAAACATTTCAATCGTTTTGAAGGTATTTGGAAAATCATAATTATAAGGTAATTTTAATTCAAAAAAAATATGGACAATCTATGTTACCATTCACATTTTCAAAACACGAAATTATAACGATAACGATAATAACTAACGAAAACCTAAATTAGGGAATGCACAACTTTGTGAAACAAACGAAAATGAGCTATAATAAAACTCCCTTTTATAGTCACATTTATAATAAAACCCCGCTATAATCACATTCATATTGTGCCTGTTTTACAGAAAGTTCTTGATCACAAGGTATTAAAGATGTTGGCTGCCTATTTATAAATAATATTTTGGATACTGTGAAGACAAAGCACATTCCTCGGATCGGAAACCTGAGACTATCGTTGCTATAAAAGAAGTATTCATCTACCAATAGCACTACTTCCGATTGTTATTCACTCGTTCATAAAATTGCTCAAAATCTCTTATCCTCAGAATGATATTTTTATGAATAATTATTTTTAGCTATTGAAGATAAAATCACCTTTATTGCTTGATAAGTTAATAAAATCAATGTTATATACCTCATTTTGAGCTTTTTGTTAAGAAAATTTATTAATGAATTAAGTATGACGATTTGTAATTGAAATTTGATTCTGGACAATCATTAGATTGGTAAAATATGACATCTGTAATAAAGATAAATCTTGATTAATATTACAGAAAAATAAACCCACATAAATAAACATATATACCCTAATAATCCACGACCACCCCAACCACGTCTCGGAGTGAACTGTAACACCATACGTGTTGGCGGCGGCAGTTGTTCTGTAGACGACGAGGCGTCTCGTTCAATTGTAACCTCAATAATTTTCTTTTGAAAAAAGGTGTTAATTTTTTGTCATTTGGTCACATTTTTTAATTCTGATAATATTAATTCGGATAATATTATTAACAATGATTATCAATGACATAAATGCATTAATTTACTCACGCCTTCACTTTGTCCAACCAAAGCATTCAGTGCTTGAAGTTTTTCGTGATTGCCCGTGTGTATTGTGCCAAATTTTAGAATTTTGTCGCCTTTTTGTAGTCCCTTTTTATATATATATATATATATCAATCAATTAATGGTCAATCCATTATTCAATATAATAAAATAAAAATTAAATACCGCTTCTTTTGCAGGTGAATCTGGTGCTATAGCATTCACTATTGCAAATGGTGTTGTGGTTTGCGAAAGTTGTTCTTTATTATTTGTTTTTTTATTAATCAAAAAAGAAGAGTTGAATTAATGAATTAAGAATATTTGCTTTTATAACAAGAAATCATATAAATAAAATAAAACAAACCCTGAGCTTGTTCTGGTATATCACTATTATCTAAAAGTCTTTGGGAGTTTACGCGTTGAGCTTCCGCGTGTATCGCGTGTAATGCTTGTTCGATTTGTGACATTATGCATTTATGATCATTTCGCAATGCTTTTTTTGTTACAAATTTAATTAAACTTTAATATTTTCTTTTAAGACATGAATCAATTTCATCGAGCGCAAATAAACATAAAGATAATTAAATAACAGAAAGAAAGATATTATAAAACTAACAAATAAAACATTAGTTAAAAAACCATATTCACCGATAATTCTCGCGCGTGCTGTTCTAATCGCGACCAAATTCACATCTGCGCGCGGAAATCCAGATCGATCTACTAAAGGTTCGGTCATTCCAACACCTTGCTTTTCAAAATAGAAAAATTAGAAAGTAAAATTATTTGATTAATTTGCAAATTTAAGATTTGAGTTTCAAAATAAACTATCGTTATAATACAATAAATCAATATAATTATTGAAATGTCTCATAAGAATCGAGTTTATACACGTTTTTTACTAACGAAAAAAAAAAAGATATAAAAATATCAACATACACCCCTCAGCACTTGTTCGAGTTCAGCAACTTCGGCTTCTATCGCGTCTTTTTGTGCCATTAATTCATGTGCTGTCTTTACTGGATTACTGTTATCATTATTAATACTGCTATTTTCTCCTATTAATTCCATTTCCACGACTTTTTCTCTTGTTAATTCCATTTCCATGATTTTATCTTTATTCAAATAAAAGCAATTCTTTTTAAATTATCGACGTCAAAATATTATTTCGTTTCTATAAAATTTAGCTTCTAAATATATTTCAAAAAAGAATCACATGACTTTTAAGTTCGAACAATGTCCCGATCACGAAAACAAAAAATTACAAAAAACCTAAGACTACAATTCTGACAAAAATTTCAGATTGGAACTCACTCCAACTGCCCAAATAAAGACACAAAAAAATCACATTTTGAAACTTGCCCGAGGGTAATGACAAAGTCTTCCGGAAAAAAGAGTAAAGAACCGGAACTGTCAGAGGTTTTGAAAAAATGGCTCGAACCGCGAATTCGACCAAAATTAGCGGACGGTCTAAGTTTGGAACAAGCATGGGAAGACCTAGTCAAAGATATAGTCATTAAAGCTTTATCACCATTGCCATTAAAGGTGTTTTCGAGTGCAATTCAGCGTCTTCAGGAGCTCGATGAAGCTGCACGGCTGGCATTGGTAGAAAAGCTACTTACTATTTCACCGAATCCTGAATGTGCACCACCTGATCGAGCTGAACGTATTCGTAATACCTTGTTGACGGTTTTGTCTCCCCAAAATGGGCCTGAAGGTTCGGGTACTTTCATCGAGGTCGATGAAGATTTCATGAATATGGTGCGAACTGTGCTCGAGCATTCACACAGAGATTGGGCCAGTGCACGCGACGTACTTCAACGTTTTCTTAAAGACTGCACTTCAAAATTCAATGGTGATCGTAATGTTTTTATTGTGTTCCCCCGTTTATCTAATATTGTACGCGATGTATTTCAAGATATACATGAACAAAAGAGTCTCAATTATTTTTACGCATGTATGCAAGAACTTGCAGCAGCAAAAGGACATAAATTAATGGAACTAGTAAAAATCAATATTGCTAAAGAAGACAATGCACATCTCGATAAATTCTTACGAATAGTGTTTCCTAAAGGAATTCCTGATGATCCAGTGATAAAAAACCCGAATAAAAGTGATGATAGCAATGATGAGCCTCCTAAACACAAGTTTTCATTAAGACCGCGTACTCGATATCGACCACCCCAACAATTGCTAAGACCAAGATGGCATAACCAGCAGCAGATGCTTCTTCGAACGTTATTGGAAGAACCTTCACATATGCTCCCGCGTACAGAGCTAATTGCTCGTGCCCTATCAAAAGACGCGGAAATGAGTGCGCGTGAAGGTTTACCTCGATGTTTCACTGGACAGGTACGGAAATAGTTATTTAGTAACGCATAAATGCGATTATTATTACATACATCCTACAATAATTTATTTCACATTGGAATGGTTTGACAGTTTCAACTCGTATAAAATAAAGAACTGAATCTTGGTTTTTTAATAGACACCTAAAAATTCAGCTAGTGCTTGTCTCACTACGAATGCTGAAAAGTATTTTGTACTGGTGAAACAAACTGGAACCCAAAATTCATGGTATAAACTTTCATTTATACCCGGAGATTTGGACGACGCCATTGTGGCCTATAATAGCTGGATGAAACAATTAATTGAACATGATTGGCCTTTATGCTTCGGAAAGACGAAAAAGTCTAAACACGGTAATGATACTGATAATTACTGCTTTGGTGATCCTGATAATGCTTCTGCATCTCCTTCCAAACGACTCCCAAATGAACCTACTGCTTTTTTTGGTATCTCGCCAATAATATGACAGGTATCGATCTCATAAAAAGTCCACGCGCGGTTGTTTTGAGTGTAGGTGCCAGCAACGAGAAGCACTTACGGTGCAGACGTTGCGGTCCAGAAATAAAGGCGTGTGATATGAAGTTACCATCTTGCACAAAGTGCAAATCTAAAGGGGTCCTTTGTGTATATCCCATGCGTGCAGGGGTACACAGGGATAATTCTCGGCTTAATAATGCTTATAATACAACAATCAAATCTTCCCCTTCGAAATACAGGGAGATGCCTCCCACCACAATTTCTCTGAGAACAAAGTCACGCGAGGCGGTTGAATCTTATGAAAAGAAGGTAAGAAATAAGGTTTCGAGTGATATTGAAGCTGCTAGTCAAGAAGAAATACTCGCTGGCCTCGATTTAACGGGTGTCCCCACGAGTTTAAATGATATTGTCGATGTTCGAACCTCTACGATTCCTAATGCTGGGCGTGGTTTATTTGCCACACGAAACATCCCAATGAGTACTCCACTAGGATTTTATTTTGGTATACCTACGATGGAACACGAATTTGATTTATACAAAGATAATGTTGGTAAAGCATCGCACTATTCAATGAGATATCGTCATACAATACTTGACGCTACTGACGAACACGGTGAACCATTTACCGATCCAAATGGGAAAATATACTGTCCTTTTCATTTTATGAATGAGGATCCATTCGGAAATATGGTTTTTTTGGAGGGAAACGAAGTGAACCAAGTCATTTGCTGGACTAAAAGAGACATACAAAAAGGCGAAGAACTATTCGTGTACTATGGGGGTGAAGTTGATCGGGGACATTGGGGAACAAAAGCAAACAACGGCGGCGGCGGAGGAAGCGGCGATGCAGAAGAAGAGGAGAAAACTGAAGATTCAGATGAACAAGAGTTTCACGATGAAGATAGTGAAGACGAGTCTGAACAAGAGACGGAGGAAGAACTTGAAAATAGCGAAGACGAGGAACAAGAACAAGAGGACGAGGGCGAAAACGAAGATGATGATGAAGATGAGGAACAAGAACAGGAACAAGAACAAGAGACAATCAGTGATAAAAGGAAAATGAAAGAAAATGATCAAATAGTAAAAAACAGTCCAAAGCGACGGAAAACTAACAATAATAATAAATCTAATGGAAAAAATAACAGTAATACGCCACACTCTTATAATTCCTCTTCTTATGTTAGTACCAACGATGATGATGATGAAGTAATTATCAAGATTGAAGAATTGTAATTCCTCTTCTTAACGATGAAGTAACTATCAAGATTAAAGAAGATTAAATGCGTTTATTTATACATACTTCCAAACTATTATTAATTATTTACAAAAATTGTAAACGCGACACTATGATTATGTTACTTTGGAAAAACAATTAATTTTATATTATTATTTAGTAATGTTAGTCAACATCAAAACTAATGTTCGCTTTCACGTGACACAATCTTTAACCCACATATACGCGCTACTGGATTGTACAGAGTTTTATAAAGGTTAGGTCATTGCCTCTTTACTCAGAAATTGTTCTCCATCAACTTCTGCTCAATAGTAAAGAGTTACTACTAGAGTGTTGTTTGCCAGATCTGTTTATAATATCAAATCATAGACATTAAGAGTTATAAGTCATCTGTCAAGTTTACCAACAGGATTTATCATTGTTAATGCTGAATGATCAGTTATTACTAAGAATTTTTGTTCATGTAAGTAATAATTAAAGTATTTTGTTATCCAAGTTATTTTATATTTTGTAAATTCACATGTAAAATTTCTGGTTTTTTCACTATAAATAAAAACATTACTGGTTTTATTAACATTTATTTTATGATGATTTTTCAAAAGAATTTGAAAATATTCAAATTATAAATAAAAAGTAGAAAAGTAAAATTCATAATTGCAAAATCATTTTGATAATCAAATACAAAATAAGAAAAGAATACATTTTTTTTAGACAATTACTTCTTTTATATTTCAATTATAAATTATGTGATCTAATATTAAAATAAGATATTATTACAAGTTTGTTTACTAATCATTAAATTAGCTTATAAACTTGAAACTGAATTGGAAAAGAGTATTAATAATAGACAAAATATTAAAAGAAAAGTTAAAGTATCTAAGTTCTATACTAATTTTTACAGGATTTATGATAATCCAAAGATATAATAATAATATGAGAGGATTATAAAAGAATAAAGATCAAATAAAAGTATAAAATAATAAAAAAATAAATAATAAAGAAAATTTGAAAGACTAATTCTCTGTACTTGTATAAAGCTTTCCAGAATTAAGATAATATAATTAGTAATAATAATAACAAAGATTCTTTTACTTTGTTCTTTTTATAAGTGAAAAATATTCATTAATAATCAAAAATTCAAATACTTAAAATTCAAGCTCAATAATTCAATAACAGTAATTTGTTTAGCACAATATAATTTAAAGTTCAAAGTTAATAACAGCAATTTGCTTAATATAATATAATTAGTGATTTGTTAGGTACAATATAATATAAAATTACTTATATACAAGATTTAAAGTATATAAAGAAAATATGAAAGACAGAAGGTATTTGAAAGAAGATTTTTGTTAAGAGATTTTTATTTTTAGTTACAATATATTGAATTAAGACTCAGATAATATTTCTATTTATATATTTTTCAAAAATACAAAAAGTAAATTAAATAGATAAAAGTAAAATAACTAATTATATAAAAATAAACTAATATATATAAAAATGAAATAATGAAAAAGTGAAATAATATTGTTACTGTTTTAATAAGACTTTGAAATACTCAAGGATATTTATGATATTTAAAGAGGAAACTCAAATATCTTAATAACAATTCATAGTCTCAATAATACTTTATGACTTTAGACTAAATATAAGTTAAAGTATGATAAGTACTTATAAGAATCACTTAAGATTGATAATAGTTATGTTCTTTTAATGCAATAACTGGACTGCTAAAGAGAGTTCTCAAAATCTCAAAGTCAAAGTTATAGAAACTATAATATTCATATTGTTATAGTTAATTTTGTTTGTTATATATTATTGGATAATTTATTAGTTTATTTTTATTGGATATTTTGTATAATATATTTTATTGAACAATATTTATTTTTATTTTTATTGGTTAGTTATTTTTGGGCTTATTGTTTACATATATTGTATATCAATGTGACAGATATATTGAATCTTCGATATTTTGAACTGTTGATTATTAGAAATATCAAACTATTGATATTTTGAAACATTGATCTTTAGAACTATAGAGATTTTGCTTGTTTAGTGTTATGGATATTTAGAAATTTTTGCAACAATCAATTTTATATATAAGTAGCACTTCACTTGATAGCAAAAAGATAACTTACAACACAAGTTATTAGTTAATAAGTTCTTAATAATGAATCCACTTATCACATATCTTATAATTACCCTTTGATTTTTAGTATAATTTTGATTATAGACTTGGAATAGTCTATGTAATATTGTTATTCTTGTATTATATACTTGTATAGTCTATGTGCAAAGTGCTGACAGAAGCAACAATAGTGAAAAGTATAGTAATAAAGAAGCTTTGTTAATAAAACTATCTTGAATCCATCATAATTATAACATATAACTTTCTCAATAATAAACTTAACTTGACCCACTATCTTCTCTTATAACTGTAAGAAGAGACCTGTTAAAGACCTTCTGCTATATAAATATTGTTAAAAGAACTGGAATAACAGTTAGTACCTTTTACCAAAATTTAAATTTAACTCTCTTTTATAAATTATATCTACACTTTCTTTAAAATAATTGTTAATATACATTTATATTTATGTTAATAATTCTCTTATTCATTACTTTAAAATAACATGATACAATTACAAGATGTTCAACAATTGACTGTTATTATACGACAGGATGAAATCTGGGTTGCAAAAAGGAAAAATCTGCATCGATCAATTGTATCATGTGAAATCTGTTATTTTTGCGATTATTGTGTAAAACCTGCGTTTATTGTTTGCGTCATGTGAAATTTGACATTTTCGATGAAACCTGAATTTTACTGGTCATATCATGTAAAATCTGACTTTTTTGGTGAAATTCAATTTTTTTGTAAAACCTGTATTTGATTGGCTAAATTCATGTGACTTTATTGACTAATATTTGTCTTTTTCTAATGATATATTCAGATCATTGCATAAATGACAAAGTTCATAGTATACCCGTTTTTTAGTGGTGAGCGTGAGCGTCCAATATATATGACTCTTGCACGGTAGGTCTTCTCTAACCCGTTGTATTAATACCAGCCTACATTCTTAGTTTTCTCAAAGTATATGTCAGCAACGTGGTGGTTTCCGTTGCAATATGAAACTCCAGCTAGGTGATACCTATATTTGAAGATTAGCAAGATAGAAAATCAATGAAATAAAATTCTAATGCCTACCTTTTTGTCATAACGTGGTCCTCATAGAGAAAACTGATTTTTTCAGGTAGATCCTTGTTCTGAAGATATACTTCTTCATCATCAATACTAATTCCTGTAACATTAATTACAAGAATCAAGGGAAGTTGCTGGTCGATTTGTCTTGTTGATGTGGTATTGTCCGCACATCGGTATACATTCCTAAGATATCAGAAGAAAAATTTGAGAGTAAATGAATAAAATGTAAAAAAGGGTAAATGAATAAACATAAAAAGGGTAAATGGATAAACGTAAAAAATCACTTACTTAGTTTCCCCAATCTTGACTAAAGTGACTTTTTCAATTCTGTAGGCATTAACGGAAATATTCTTTGGTGCTTCGCCATTGGTAGTCTTGAACTCGGATCCACATATGCAGAGGTAAGGTTCCTACCAGTGTTTGAGACAAGTTTCAAAATAGGTGCTTCCTGACAATACTAATGTATTCGTTTTTCTAGGAAAAATATATAAATTAGTAATCCTTTCACAGCTCTAACATCACGCACCCTACGCCAATTAGCCCCGCACTGAATAACCATCCAATCCACACCAACTAATCACTTTGACTAGCACACCCTAACTAGCCATCTACTTTATGCCCACATAAGGATGCTTGCCTAAATTCTTTCAGAAAAATATCATCATAATTTCGACGGGTTACACACTAATTGTTAATTAGAATTTCGACATAATTTCGGTTACGACGGGTTTCAAAATTCGTCAGAATTTTGACAGGTTATTTACTAATAGTTTATTATAATTTCGACAGAATTTAGACAATCACTAAGGGATTTCGGCAAGCAACCTTATGCCCACATCAAATAACCTGGCCACCACTCCGATTAGTCACAAATAGTTCATTAATTCAATTTTATTGAAAAAAATTGACATTCGTAGTATTCAATGCTGATATATCCACAGACCCATTCTAAATGATTAGATACTTACATAAGTACAATATCGAAACAATTTACCGGAGACAGAACTTTCTTTGGACAATAGCTTGAATCACATTCAGTTGTTACCATACTTTTAACAATGATGAGATTTTGGTCCAAGGAATCGTGAAAGAACTGTTCAAAAAAACATTCTGAAAGACTTCCAAATAAATTTACTTGTTCTTTTTTTTCTGACTTAACATATGACAGCAGATTCTCGACCCATAAAAACTTGGCTTCTACCCATCATTTTTGTTTCATAAGGTCGAGAACTTGTAGAAGGTGACACATTTGGGAATTTGGATCTGCTTCAGCCAAAACAACAGCTTTTTCGTGAATATTCTTGTGAGTAAAGACAGCTTGGATGAGTATGAGACTTGTGTCTACTGGACATGTACAGGTTAATTGCAGCTGGTCTTTTTTTCCTCCATATGACATCATATGAATGACAACGTTTCCATAAGAATCCCGAGATGGTAAGATAGATTGTGAGGAAGTAGTTTGCTTCTTTATCATTGTTAATCATAAAGTTAGTTTTTGTGTTCAAAGAAATTTAAATCGAATAAAGCAGTCACATTACCTTTATTTTTTTTTAACGATCCATCAATATATCCGGCTATGTTGGCTAACTGAATTGTGCGTTGTTCCATATTGTTACCATATTATATGAGTCCTTGGGAGAGTTGGTGAGTGCTTAATAACGTTATAATAAGTTACTTGACCAGGGTAATTATAGTAAAGTTTATTAAGAATGACGGGTGGGAGAGTATAATATAATCAAATCTATATAATGCATCAAGCA